GTCGGCAGCCAGCATAGTACCTCTGCCACAGGCCAGCGCCATGTGACGATTCGTCACATCCTTCACAGTCCATTCAAGATATTGCGTATGCTTTTCATCCGTTTCATTTTTGACAAGTTTTCACATATTCATAAACAAATGTCAAAGAATGGTTACGGTTCATTAAGAACGTATCCTAAAACGTGAAAATTGGTTGTACGGCTCCACGTGCTGTCATCCAAGCCCAACGGAGAGCTAGCGATACGGTCACTTTGATGTATAAATACATATTGCCATGCAACTCACTGTCGCAGTTGTAGTAGCATATCTATATAACTATGCAAATCAATATGTAAACCGTCCCTAAATACTTGCATTAGTCCGTTCTATTCTGATTTCTGAAAAGGCGCGTTTGTTTACAAACAAGAGAAAAGTTCCGGATATGCAAATTGGCCTGTGGCAGCGGTGTTATGCTGAGTCGCCACTTGCAGGAGTGTGCATTCAGCCGTCTTTGAATCTCGTCCCACAGGTGCTCAATGGGATTGAAATCGCGACAGAGGGCAGGCCACTGCATGGTTCTGATGCCATTCTGCTAGAGGAAGTCTCTTGTTGCTCTCGCAGTGAGGACACGGGCGTTATCATGCTGAAACTCGTGGTTGCGGCGACGAGGTTGCGGCGAGGTATGGCGTGTGGTCTCAAGACTTGATCAAAGTACCGAGCTGCTGTGACATCATTGCCTCTCCCTGGACCGATGTTCTGGAAGACCAATTCCACCCCACACCATGATGCTCGGCCCACCTCACGAGTCTCTCTCAACAACACAAGCATCCGAATAACGTTCACCACGGCGTCGCCAGACTCTCTCTTTGCCATCTGCTGTTGAGATACAGTAACGGCTCTCGTCTGAGAAGAGGACTCTTCTCCACTGCTAGTGGCGTCAATGCTGGTGCTGTGTTGCCCACTGAAGACGGTCCCGGCGATGACGTGGTGTCAGAATGGGTCCTCGGTGTGGCCTGTGACAGTGGAGGGGTCTGCTCGTCAATCGTCGACGCACGGTGTCCGCACTAATGTTTCGCTGGTGCGTCCCCATAGTATGTCGAGCAGTTTCCGCAGGAGTAACAAAGAGATCACGAAGATGCTGTCGCACAATCTGACGATCTTGACGTCGGGTGGTGACCCTTGGTCTTCCACTAAGTGGTCGGTCATCTGTAGTGTTGGTGGTCAGGTTCCGTTGCTGGAGCCTGTATATATGGTCCTTACGTGGAGTCGGCCTCCGTGGTCTAGTAGTAGAGCGTCCGCCCGGATGGCGGAAGGTCCGGGGTTCGATCCCCGCCCGCGTCATACCAAAAGCCGTTAAAAGATGGTACTTGTTGTTACCCTGTCTGGCGCTCGGCATTAAAGGGCTAAAACAAGGACTGGTCGGCTCGGAGTCAGTATACTGTGTCTGAGTGAGGTATTCATGTTAAACTGCGGCATGGTATCTCAGTGTGCTAGCACTATAAATCGGCATCAGTCCGGACTAGTACAAGCAGCTACACACACACACACACGCACACGTGCATGCACGTCGCTATATAAGTGCAATAATCTTGGACGCGACGTTAAACCCCATTTCACCTCACCTCCTTACGTGGACTTGAAATGCACTGGCTACTTGCCGGGCGGTTTATCCAGCTTGCAATCGTCCAAGGGCTTGGTGTCGCTGATTTCTTGTCAATCTTGGCATGTGGTAGCAATTCAATAACGAATGAATGTTATCCGATCTGGGTGATTTTTATAGGGCAAAAAATGGGGGAACGCATGTGCAATTCAATTTGCACGGAACTCACGTGCATCGGGTTACCATGGCCGTTGCCGTGATACGTTTGGGCGATCGGTTTTTTTGTCATCTGCTCTGGGTTTTTTATCATCAAATTTCGGACAAGGTAATGTTAAATACCTCGACAAAAATTAACCAGATATCTAAATGACAACTTTTCATGCAATGTTACTTGGGGTGACGTTTCTTTTGCGGTTCAGTATACATAACTTATCCCTTGATCTTGAAGCACGTATACATTGCAGCCAATATTTATCATGATTTTGACACTAAAGCTGAAAATATTTTTTTCCAGAAAAAGCGCTACGTTTAGAGAACTCAATATATGTAATACTTGTTTTCATGTAGCCCAGTGAGTAGTTGTATGGGGACATTATATTTAGCAATTTCTAAATACAAATAATGAACTTGGCCGCCTATCACAACAAAGACAATTAAAGAGTAGTTGGTATGAAAATTAAGAAGGGTTGCAGTTCCTTGTTCTGTTAATGAGAAAATAATTTTGGTTACAATCAGAAATGTCAAATTTGTGAAGGGAGTTAAAACTGACCCATTTCATGCTGAGCTGTGACTTATGAAATAAAGGAATACACCGAGTAAAACTCACTTGCGGCTTTGATTGTGTCCTGGATTCCTCTACTACTCCTCAGTTGTTTTAAACTATATATCAATATGCATTTCTGCTGCTTAGCAACTGCTTACTCTTCACACAATTATAGCGAGTTTGCATTTTAGTTTCCATGGCAACAATGACAACGTGTTAATGAAACTAAACGTGAAGACTTGTCAGTTGAGTACAGGGCATCTTCCGTTTTCAATAGTTGTAATACAATATACAATTATGGAGGACACCCCCAAATTGCCACAGTGCAATGTTCTCCATGTACTGAGGTGCTTGTATTCGCCATGTCATCATAAGCATGCAGTCAGCTAATCATCAGAGTTACATGTTTTATAAATAAACATTAATGTATCAACCGCACCTCCCTAACGAGGCCATATAGAGGACCGTCACTGGAAATGGTACATAGGGCAGGTGTACAACGTGCCATATATGGGGCTGTCACACTAAAGGCTATATAGGACTGGTGTACAACGTGCCATATATGGGACTGCATGCCACACTAAATGCTATATAGGACTATCACAACATGCCATATATGCGGCTGTCACACTAAAGGCTATATCGGACTATCATAACATGCCATATATGGGGCTGTCACACTAAAGGCTATGTAGGACTATCACAACATGCCATATATGCGGCTGTCACACTAAAGGCTATATAGAACTATCACAACATGCCATATATGGGGCTGTCACACTAAAGGCTATATAGGACTATCACAACATGCCACATATGGGGCTGTCACACTAAAGGCTATATAGGACTATCACAACATGCCATATATGGGGCTGTCACACTAAAGGCTATATAGGACTATCACAACATGCCATATATGCGGCTGTCACACTAAAGGCTATATGGGACTGTTATACAACATGCCGTATATGGGGCTCTCACACTAAAGGCTATATGGGACTGTTATACAACATGCCGTATACGGGGCTCTGACACAAAATGCTATATGGGACTGTTATACAACATGCCGTATATGGGGCCCTCACACTAAAGGCTATATGGGACTGTTATACAACATGCCGTATACGGGGCTCTGACACAAAATGCTATATGGGACATCCTGTTGTGATGTATAAATGTAAACAAATACCAGTTCTAGTTTCTGTTTCAATTTCCTCTATAATTTAAGTTAACAGCTCACACAAAAACACAAACCTATTCCTACGTAAAGAGATATCAGCTTTATTTGGCCAAAAAGTGTAACCAGATAAATGCACATTTTAATCATAGGCAAAATCTGTTTTGAAGAAAAGGTTGTAAAAATTGATTGTGATTATTTTTATTATACAATTTAGTTTAAAATTATGCAACGGCAATGGCATATTTGTTTTCTCGTGGTATTTTTTAAATGTTACAAAAGCGAAATGGAGAAAGATTAAGCTTTGCGTAATTTGTCATTAACATCATTTATTACAAGTTCATAAGCTGAAAAATGGCAATATGAAAAACTGATTTTGCAAATGTATAGGCGGTAAAATTGTTACGGATTTTGAGATTCACTCTCATATATATTATACATGAAGCTATTTCTTTTAGTCCAGAGCGGTAAAATGTGCTTGCACAATCCGATACAGACTCTTTAACCCACGCAAAATATATTTGAGTGTTGTATCAGGTATAGCCTCATCGTTATACATCAGCCTGAAGAAGGAGGCACATTTTACATGACGTTTTCTGAATAGTGTATACTTCGAATGCAAACTACTACGAAAATTGATACTTTATATACAGTTACGCATTCCTGTGATTACGACGTGGCAATTCCAAGTCCGGGAAAGACATTTCAGCGGACGATACCGGGACTGCACGTTTTTAAGCCCTGAGCTTACAGATTTTGACTATATTAATTGGGTAACATTTTAACAGAGTGAGTGAGTGAGTGAGTGAGTTGGGTTTAACGCCGCTTTTAACAGTATTCCAGTTATATCGCGGCGTGTCAGCTTAATGTGGGAGGAAAGCCCGAAGTGATGCAGGTCTCAGACGTTTACCACTTCGGTGAAACCCACGAGCACGGGTATGGTGCTGACAAACCTAGAAACATAATCGGGGCGAACCGGGATTCGAACCCACAATCATAGGTTTCTGGCGTGCCAAATGGACGCAACTCCTCACAGCGAATCGCGGCGCCTTAGACGACTGGGCCACCCGCTAATGGGCTTAAAAGCGCTATATGTTTCGATTTATGAAAAAGGTGCAGTCCAAGTAAACAAAGCTCCGTCTCGGCGCGTGCTACGTCAGGCAAGATCATAGATCGGGCTGTATGGAGCCTGATCTATGACGTCACAGTATTGTTGCTTTGGCGCGGACATTGAAATTTGCTGGTAGATTCAGGGGAGATTATTACAGTTGAGCTGTTCGACCTCTAGTGGGATGGGAAGGCGAAACAGCAACAGGGAGAAAAAGTCCCACATACGGAGAATTAAGGATTGGGTATATAAAAAGCTAAGCTCCAGAAAAACAAACAAGGTAAGAGGACATATTTTCTCCGATTATCGAAATGTCAATATTTTTTTGGCTTTGAGAACATCAGAAACACGCACACGCACACGCACACGCACACGCACACGCAAGATCGTACACGCGCACCCGATTTCATTCTTTATTGGTCGTTCATTTTCGATAACATGCGATGAAATAGATATGTGCAACCGTGTATAAATGCTTCTATTTGGACTAGAAAATCTCCGCGGAAAGGAACATTATCACGTTTTCTTCAAGACATAAAACCTTTGTGGATAACAACTTCTTTACTCCTTGTAACGAAGTTTCCATAACATGTTTCATGTTCGTCCTACTTCTACATCTTTTCTTCACAAAAACATTAAGAAGGAACTTGATTTTGAGATGGAAATACTGTCTTCTTAACAGCGTCATTTTGTTAATTAAACTGTACATAGGGTGAAACATGTTTTGCTAGGGCCATGGGGAGGAGGAGTATCTTCAAGCCGCACCCATCGTCCACAGAGATATGTGAGTTTACATTCATCTGGGTCAAGCTTGAAAATTAGTACTGGCAATTTAATGGACTGTCGTATCTCAGAGTGAACTTAACTTTCACATGGAAGCTAAAGCTATAATGATCAACCAATAGAACTGTTAAATGGTACATTGTTGATATTGACTCGTGCAGGACACATGTACAGGTTGTACATGTTGTAACTGTGTCAAATGTAATTAAGGTACTGTGCTCCGCTTCCAAGATATGTAAACGTAGTTTTCATCTGTACTGACGCAAACCATTTTAATCATTTGAGTCAAAACAGTGACATGTGATATCTGATGACGTCTAAACTGCCTTTCGGTTAGTTAGTGTGAGACAGGGTGTCATGAGATAGAAAATGTGCAACTTGTCTGGAACTTGACAACACAATAAATGGGTTTTCTGTGTATTTTCAGGTTCGAGAAGGAGACTGAGACTAAGGACACCGTATCTGTAAACACTACACAAACAAAGACCAGTACAGAAACGGAGAAAGAGTAAGTACATTGTATCCCCGTGTTAACGATAAAAGAGAACAAAGTAATGTAATCACAGATTTACTATTTCTTTGTTGACATCACAAATTTAATTGGTTACCCTGTGAAAGTTTGTTTATATAAGCAAATACGAAGCGCTGAGATCGTCTGAAGTCATCACAGACAATAAAAGTACCATTTGTTTCAGACGGGTGTTAGATCTGAAGAAGATGTTCAGGCCAAGTTTTGATCAGTATGAGCGTTTACAGTTTCGGAAGTGTCCATGCGAGGGGACTGGCAACCACCCCTTGGTCCCCTCCCGATCAGGCCACACACAGACAAGCCATGAAGACCTTTTTTCGAGGTCGTCCAAGTCGGCCTCAGAGGCACGAACAACAATGGCAGATACATTCCCTCAGTGCCAAAAGTCAGTATTGGCCAGTCATCACCAGTCTAAGCTGCCCAGGGAATGGAAGCCGTAAGTACAATGGAGTGTGTTTTCAAGAACAACAGAACATCAGAATACTTGCAAAAGATCTGCAATAACTTATACATACACATTACTTGAGGTTACTGACTATGCCTGTCATCTTAACGCAAGATTCGCAGCTGAATAGCTCTTACCCTTGTCTAATGTATTTTTCAGATCGAAGCATCCTGGTTCACAGTGCACTTCGATGGCCTTCACTGCCATTTTGACATCAGGGTTTCTTCCCGTGGGATTGTGGACCCAAACCATCATGGACAGGATTCTCTTCCTCGGAGACAAGCTCCACGCCTGTCTGTTGGCCGAGATGGGCAGATGGGCACCCTGCAATGGCCACCTAGCTGCGGATGAGATGCCGTCTCAGCCAAAGGACACGCATGGCATTTGGGGGGTCAAGTGTAAGAGAAACCTTGAGTACCAGGGTTTCATTCACCCTGACCTGACCTGTCTGTCCTCCCTCAGACGCCAGCTGACGGAATGCGGTATACCCGACCAGCGTCTGAGGGATTTAGATGACGCCATCAGCAGCTGTTTTAGTGCCGGATCTGCTGGCTGCTTGCTGACATCCTGTGGTGTCAGTTCAGCCATTTTCAAGAACCCCGAAGGTGGTGTCGTGGTCTTCGACTCCCACGCCAAGGACGTCACAGGCCGCACATGTTCCGAGGGAAAGTCGTCTCTGTTGACATTCATCTCCCTGGATGGTGTGGTGGCCTACTACAGGAGTCAGCTGGGAGGGGGGACCAGATACTGCCTTACGGGGTTCCTGGTCCAGCCAAACTAGACAAGGGCAGCAGCTGGTCAGAGCTCCTCCAGACACTGACTGACGCCCTGAGTAACAGAGCACCGCTACCTCCTGCTGGGCAGTGAAATAGATGAGGCTATATCATTACCTGCTGTTTTACAGATACTAATCGCAGCATTATGTCAAATGCCTTTGAAGACAGAAAAATGAGTTCATCAGAGTGCTTGAACAGTCTTTGCTCCCTTACAAAAGCAAAGGGAAGCTCAGCACCATTATATGGCATAAATGTCTCAGAGGAGAACGAATGCCAGTCAAACTGGCTAAATAGTAAATAGAAATGGCTTTAATACACTTACTGCACCAGCGAATGACCGTTGAGCATGGAACTAGGAACGTTTATTGAACAAGTGTCTAGATGGGATAAATGAAGACTATTGACAAGCTTTTATTAAACACGTACTTTTTATTGTTATTTTACACTTCCGTGTTTTAACATCTAACATCCTCAGTGAAGTGGAATATAAATGATTTTACAAGCAAATGACAATTTGGTTTTTTTGTTCCAAGATTCAAATTAATAAAGTTATGAATTATTATCCATATGGTGAATACAAGATGTTGAAAGCAAACTTTGTCCTGGTAGCCTTCTTGGTAGATCTCACCTAGAAAGGGCAGGTCGGTGGTTGTGACAGTGAGACACAGACCGGCTACATCAACAGGGCCACTGCTGGCCTTGTAATGGCTGATCACAGAAACTATTCACACCAGCCAATAAGGTCACCTGAAGCCTAGTAGGTATTTATTCTTGTTTGTAATTTAACGCCGCACTCAGTAATATTCCAGCTATATGACGGCAGTTTGTAAATAATTGAGTCTGGACCAGACAGTCCAGTGATTGACATCATTAGCAACAATCTACGCATTTGGGATACGATGACATAGATCAACAAAGTCAGCGAACCTGACAACCCATCCCGTTGGTCGCCCGTTACAACAAGAATGAGTTGCTAAAGACCTATTCTAACCCGGATTTTCACAGGTCTCAAGCCTAGTAAGCTGAATTGTGTGATACACATAAATGAGTTTTGCTGCTTTTAGCGTTAATACAGCATCATCACTGCGGAGGACACCAGAAATAGGCTTCATGTACCCATGTGGGGAATTGGATACATGGCTTCGGTGTCACGAGTCAATGATTAAAGCTCTTGGGTCCAGTTTGCTCCAGGCAACCCTATGATGTGGATTAAGGCAGGAGCTCTCCTCTTGCAGATGGTACTGATACTGAACTATCCCTTTCAGGAACATTAAAGGAATTTGTGTATACCATAGTAAACAATCAGTGCTGGAGCCATGCAGGTAGTTGTGTAGGACATATAATCCTCCAGAGGCATCCAAATAAACACCATACAGACACGTAGCTATCATAAACATTATTTATTGCATAATGAGTAATGTCCAATTTGATCTTTGTAACAAAGTTCACAGGTGTCATAGAGCACTAGATGAATAGTGTACATTTCTTAAAAAGGCTATATACAAGTGCAGATGAAATATACAATGATATGATGAAGGTTATTACCACTGTACTATCAGAGACCATATACTGCATGGTCTCTGGTATTATGAACAAAGAACAAATGAACCAACAAGATTAATGAATTGTTACCTTTGACTGTAGGTTTCAGGTAAAGGGTAAGGATGCCCTCTGAATAATTTTTATCACACAACTCATTAAAATGTGTCATTTCAGAATCCTTACATGATTTGAAAGGTAGAAATGCCATGTAGTATGCACAATGAAAACTGTCTGACTACAAAGAAACAGCGCCATGTATATCACGCAGGCCCCTGAAGCAGGATAGTGATATAACTGAAACACTAGACTCATATATATAAATAGACAAGGGACGTCACTCGCCATCTTGACCGAAGTTGAAATCGGCTGTATCGTTTAAATTAAATGGAAATATATGCATGTCATGTTCACAATACCTCCCCACCTACCTCCAAATAGGACCTGCATGCCACAAACCTTCATTTTTGGCAATTTATTACCTATATCGGGTGAGTTTATCGAAATGTTGGCTCAGTCGCGGCTTCAGGGGCCTGTGTGGATCAGTACACATTCCTCCAGACAAACACAACACAACCCACTCTTCGGCAAGTCACTTCACGCTAACAAATGTGGGCCAAGTGCACCCATCATCTATATTCTACTATATGAAACTATATTATTTTTTTATGGATTTTTCCATTTGGCATACACTACCCATTTCATGAAAGACAATTAATAATACTTCTTTAGGCATTTGGAAGTAGTTGCACAAAATACTTTAAGTTCATTCACACAAATTTGGAGCACTATTTATGCCAAAACAATATGTGTATGTTTCCGGTTTCCTGGACCTAACTGGGAGCCCCATTCTAGCTCCATCACCATTCAGATAAATCTGTATTTCAAGATATGAGAGCAAATTTGATGCCCTTCACTAAAGATAAGCCAGTCATTGAAAGGAACCGAACTAATTATCTCATTTCTTGACAAGCTAAAAAAAAGAAACACTTATTTTTACCTTATTGTACATGTATCATGGTCTTTTCCATACATGTTAGTCCATGATAACGACATCTGCCTATGCCAGTCCTGAGTGTGAAAAGCTTACTATCTCCTAATTGCCTTACTGGGAATGCAGTGAATAGAGGACTGCTGATGGAGACGAGGGTGGGTGCACAGGGTACTCAACAACAAGCAGCTCAAGAGTCCATGGGACATACACAAGGACAACATGGCTTTAACAGTTTCAAGCCTTAGCCAACTGAATAATGGTATTCAAATCATTCCTTTACTCATCCCTTATATCTTGTATGCAGGACTTCACTTCAATAACAGAAGACATAGTTTCATGCCATGCCTAATGGCTTGTCATATGTACTTGTGTGATCACAATATTTTACTGAAATACATCATTACCTACTTTTGGTCAGCTATAGAATAACCTAGGATTGCCCCTTAAAAATATATCTTCATCTTCTATGTTAATGTAACATTACTTCTATGTATAGGTCACATTTATAAGCACATTGCACTTATTAAAAATGTTTATTGAACATATATCCATTCCACTGTATCAAAAGATTATGTCACTTGAAAAACTCATAACTTGTTTGAACATATATAGCTACACACTGTTACTTTAAATGACACATTATGAATCATTCACTGCATTAAAGTGTAGCAAAATGTATGAAAACAATTCTGTACACATGCATCAAGTACAGTACTCCTGTTCTGCTGACTAGTTTGTAAGAAAATGCCCAGTCCTGATCCCACCATAGTGTTTACTGATATTTCAACTTCTTTAACAAAATAAATTATAACCACATAAAAATGATAAAACATCTTTCCTAATGATTTCAAATAAAAGAACAAACTAATGTTTCACTGTCATAAAAATATCAAGATTTCAAAAATGATGAAAAGAATAACCCTGCTCAGACAACATGGAGAATGCTCTTGCCTTAGAGAATACAAGCTGATGAATACAACTGCAAGGAATTATTTTTCGTCCTTGTTCACCAAGTTGCAAAACCTGTAGATGTATGCATTCTACCAGCAGCTTATGGCCAGTGGTTTGTTGATGAATTTGTTCTACTGGATGAGAAAGTTCTCAATCTTTCGCTATGAGTCATTAGCCCAGCCATTCACCTTGACCTGAGACTTGATCTTCTTGACCTTGATGTCTGTATGCGGAAGACAGTCTGCCAGGCTCTCCGTCAACTGGATGAGGCTGAGTCGGTTGATGGGGACAGTGGGGGCTTCAGGCTGCTTCTGCAGTTCCACATAGTTGGAGGGATAGAAGGGGATCCACATGGCCTGTCGGTCATGGTCGGAGGGGGGATCGGGGGCACACATGTCAGAGTTGACAATCACACCCCACTCCAATAGCTGAAGTTTCTGGAGTTTCGACACCAGAGTGAGAGTGTTGGAATTGACTGCTGCCATCTGAAACAATAATACAAGACTTTCATGCCAGAAAACCTTGGATAATTATATGTTACAATACCATTGATTCAAGCAGATAAAAAAGAACCCACTCGTCCGATGGTAGATGACCAGATGGTGAAAACATGAATACGTACATACACCCAAAAGACAAGTGTCAAAATGTGTGGTGTCACCCTGGGCAAGTGACTTAGTTCAAATATGCCTCTGTTCACCCAGCAGGGAATAGGTACCCAATATGTGAGGTGGATGTTAAAACCCTCTTGCTCCCGAAGGCAGCTTGAGCTGTATACTCCCCAGGGAGTTGGGAATGATAACTGCATATGATCCACTGGTCGGGTAACAACTAAACCACATCAGGTGCGTTATATAAATGTATAATATAATAATATTAGTAAAACCCTAAATATATTTTATATTTGTATACTTATCCTGCATTACCCCTCAATGCATATTGCTGCTTGTTCTTGACAGAGAAAAGAGCTGTGTGAGGGTCTTTGCTTGAAGAAGTTGTTCCAACTAGCTGAGAGGCCAACCCTGTCACACAGCTCCCACGTGACCAAAGGAAGTGACATCATGGATCCTCACATTACTCTGGAGTCTGGAACATCGGAAGACATCGTGGGGAGGCAGCTCTGTGATGGGCGGGTCTCTTTAGACGCAGTAATGCAGGATAAGTATACAAATATAAAAAATATCTATGAGTTTACTACAATTTTTACTTATCCTTCATTACTCCTTAATGCATCTTTATCCGACGGAATCAGTGGAGGGAATACCTTCAGATGTACACTTTCATCTCAGAACTGTTCCCTCAGCTAATCCTCGGCTGTGTGGTTGGCTTCGAGTGACCAATCCATGTATGGGAACCTCCGTTTCCCTCAGTACGTTCTCGGCTGTATGGTCGGCATCAATGACCATTTCATGGATGGGAACCAAGAGTCAGGTATGCGGTGTGTCCAGGTACGTCACAGCCATAGACGATAACCCTCTCAAGTTAAAGTTGTAGACTGGTGTACCAAGCTGTGAGTGGGGCATGAACCTTCTAGTCCAGGGCATTTAAGCCAGGGGAGGTTGAGAGGCCGGCTCTGGACTTGGAGGCGAGGTCAGTGGCATTTAGCAGTGGTGACCTGTTGGGCCACTACTAACAGGCCAAAACTGTGTACGCCTTCCACATCCTCCAATGCGACCTCTCGCAGGTAGTGACTGACGAAGACTGTGTTTGATCGCCAGAAACATCCCTCCATGATGGCACGTAGAGAACAGTTGCTGGTGGAGGAGACTGCCCAGATCTCATGCAGGTTGTTTAAGCATGGGGGCCCCAATCCAGCTGCCTCGTAGGCCTGGAGAATGATGGCTCGTAGCCAGAGGGCGATCGTGTTGCGGCTGACTTCCGCTCGCAAAGTCGCAGATACTGGTATGAGGAGGCATCGTCGTTTTCTACGGCGGTCCTTGGATCGTTTGATGTAGCAACGGAGTGCTCTAACCGGACATAGACAGAGCTCTTGTTCATCTTCCGCGCCCACAATCGAAGATAGGGGAGGGATGAGGAACAATCTGTCTGGCTGTCCTTGATTCTTGGCAATGAAGTCCCGGCACAGTCCGAGATGCACGACACGCGTGACGTAGAAGGCATGTAGCTCACTCTCACGGGCTGCAGTTGCGAGCTCCAGTAGGAAGACCGTCTTTTTCGTCAGATTGTAAAAGGACGTCGCTTTGAGAGGCTCAGCAAGGTGAGAATGACATTCAAGTCCCAAGCCGGTGGATGAAATTTCGCCTTTGGTCTTCCAAACTGAATGAGAGAAGCAGAGCCTGTAGTTCCCGGGATTTTCATCATGCACCGATCTTCTGGAACTGCCAGGACAGAGTTGAGTGCCACAAGGTAGGTCATGAAGGTACTACCCTTGAGCTTGCGCTTGTGGCGAAGATAGAGCATGAACTCAGACAGGAATTGAGGCGATGCAGTAGTGGGGTCTTGATGTTTGCCTCTGCAAAAGCTCTCAAAGGATTGCCACTTGTCGTCATAGAGGCTCCTGGTGGTTTGGTGATGCGCTATCGTGATGGCCTTTGCCGCTCTGGCTGAGTAGCCTGTGGTGTTCAGTGCTCTCTGTAAATGGACCAGATGTGAGGACATAACTTGTCTGCTCCTGGGTGTGGCTGCCTGCTGCGAGGGTGGATCAGCAGGTTTGGCCAATCTGGGAGTCTGGGAGTGCTAGCACTCTGAGGTCTACGAACCAAACCCTCGCCAGCCACAAGGGCACGACCAAAGTCAGATCGAGGTTCTGTGTTGATCGGATCCTTTGGACAAGCCAAGGTGGTGGCAAAGCGTACGCCCAGGGGATGCTGAAGGCGTTGACTGCCCAAGCCAGGGGATCCGGCACCTGCGAATTGTAGGTCGGTACCTGGTAGTTCTAGCTGGTGGCGAATAGGTCTATGTTGAGGAGACCATGGTCTCAAAAGTAAGAGCGAAGGTTTCTCGGTTGAGCTCTGTGGGGGCAACCTTGCCTGGCCGAGATAGAGCAGCCTAGGATGTTTCGGCAGCCTGGAATGTGTTCGACCTGGAACTGTATCCCCAGATAATCAACCAGGTGAAAGAATCGGAATGTCTGTTGAAGGAGCGAGGTCGAGTGAGTTGTACCCTGGCTAAGTAGGCACCAGACGACGCTTATGTTGTCCGTCAAGATGGAGAGCCTGCTCCCAATGAGCAATGGCCAAGATAAGCCCCTCCAGTTTGAGATAGTTGATATGCCATAGGCGCTGATCGGCGGACCACAGCCCCGAGGTGACCTGTCCCTCTAGGTGTGTGCCTCATCCCTGCAGGGAAGCGTCTACCAATAGGCATAGAGAGGTAGTAAGCCCTGTCAAGGAGATGCCGCCTAAGACATTCGATTCCACCGTCCACTACCGGAGACGCGGCTTGACGTGATCCGGGATGTGGATTGTTGAAAGCGGCGAGGTTGTGAATCATCCTTCGTGTGTCTGAGTCCTTCTTGGGGACGAGGAAGATGGGTGAATAGAAGGCCGGTGTTATGGCTAGGGCGTGTATGACCTCTATTGCTTTCTTGTCCAGCAGCGCCGAGATGTTCTGGCTTAGTAGTTGCTGTTAAGTAGGGGGATAGGTGTCCACTATAGGGGACGACATGAGAGGCGGGTCGTTTATAAGCGCCAGCTTATACCCGTGTTGGAGGATGTTCGTGACATATGGGTCCCACAGGATTTCCCAATTCTGCCAGAATCGACCCAGTCTCTCACCTACTGGAGTGTCGACAATTTGGACAACTGGGGGCGGGAGGTCCCAGTCGTGCGTGTCTGGGGATTCACTTGGAGTCCCTGCAGTTGGCGCTTCCTTCCTTGGGAGTGGCCACAGCGAGACTGGTATGAGCCAGAGGACTTGCCTTTACCTAAGATAACTGCCCGAGAGGTTGAGGTGGAGGGAGTTGCTTTGCGGCTGTTAGGAGCCAGACTGGGACGTCTTAGAGAAGGATGGCTTTGACACCCTGGCCTGGGCCTTGAGAGCCGTCTCGTCTCAGTTGATGGCTGAGATTCGGGAGTGAGTCTTGGAGATCTGTCCGTTAAATAGGTCAGGAGCTGACCCATTGTTGATGAAGCGGATCTCTCCTGAACTCTGGTTCCCAGTCAGGTAGAGCAAGGTAGCCCAGGCATCTCGTGGTTGTAAGCACAATCAGGGCGGCATGCATATGGGAGTGCATATGCTCAACTTGTTGCTGGAGGTAGGATACGACGGTGGTCAGGTGGTCTTTCCTATGAGGGTTATCCTCCAACAAGTCCTGGAGAAAGTCCATAAGTGAGAGAAGCTTGAGAGTGTGGCGAATTTCGGTCTCCACATAGGTGAGTTTATTGTCAGACACTTGTACTGAGGTGGAGTGCTTAGACCCAGTCATGCGGTGCAGATCCTCATCTAAAGCATGAGCGTGGCCCACGACCTGGAGAGATCAGATCGGGTAGTTGCCTCGTTAATAGCGTGGAGGTCTGAAGGACGGAGTCAGAGAAAGTTTGCTGAAGTCCTCATCCAGGACCGAAATCATGTCCTTGATCAGCGGGTCTGGTGGGAGCGAGGTAGGTTCCAGGATTGCTGTCTTGCTATTGACCTCTAGGCCAGGAGAGGGAGCGGCTGTCTCTAGTCCATCCGCCAACCAGTCTGCAACCTGGCCTAGGCAAAGGTGGGACTCGCCTTCTGTGGGGGTGTCATCGGATGAAGGTGCCCTCCGAGGAGCTACTTGAGCATCTGCGAACAGGTCGAGGACCCCGACGAGACGACCGACTGTCACTCTGACGTAAGGGCGAACTTGGGGAAGCTGAGTAACGAGAGGTAGATGGACATCAATGAGCGATGACAGAGATGGTGTCTGTATAGGCGTCCGACGAGGCGCTGGCAAGGGCGTGGGCGTCTGTATAGCAGCTGTTTGGTGGATAGGCACCGTCTGTATAGGCGCTTGGAGAGGCGCCTGCAGAGGCGCTATGGGTAGCGCTTTTAGAGGCATCTGTATAGGCGCTGGGGCAATAGGCGTCGACGTCTGCATGGCCTGTAAGTACTGGAGGAGAGAGGTGTCTGTCATGGGCATCTGTGCCGTAGGCGGGGGTGCCTGTAGGAAACCATGCGTCTGGCCAGTGGACTGTATAGGCGCCGTTTGGTAGGAGAGCGTCATGGTGGTGTCCACTGCCGTAAAAATAGACATGACATAGTAGTGGTCGTCAGGGTGCTCTGGGTAGAGGCTGCGACCGTGGGGACCGACATCATGATAGTAGTGAAGGCCAGGGAGTTGTCGTCTGAGATAGCCGATATAGTAGTGGGCGAATTCTAGGAAAGGTCAGACATCTTGCGCCGGTGTTTCCTGGCCTGTTGTGATCTCCGTTTTCTTGACACACAGAGGTACTGTCTGAAAGCTGTGGGGGAAAGCAGGAGACAGTCTTTACATCTTGAACCTTGGAGGCATTGAGATGTACAATTAAGGCACAGGGGGTGGGGAACCCACGTCAACATATTACGCCAGCACTTTGAGCAGGGGGGCATGATATCTGCAATGAAGCAGTGTAAAATCACAATGCATCCCCGGCCGATTATGTATGCTATAATTCGTTTATCCCACTTCGTGCGGTTATGAAACAATTATATACGAAAAACATATGAGAACATACAAAATGAAGACAAAATACTTGCAAGGGTACGACAATGGTGAGGTACCGAGCAAGAAGAATATAGAACGGAGGCCAGTTCATAAGTCGCTGGCCACGTAAAATATTCAAAATGGCTACTTGAAACAAGACACCTGGGATTATTCATTGTTTTCTTTAGAGAAAACGCCAGCAGGTGTCAAAAAATGTTATGCACATGTTATCAAACATAGAATGTACAAAATACAAACCGTATGCACAACCCAAAGACAATAAACATTAACTCAAGGAGCAAACACGTGAGGGTTTGAACAAGTTTATGCTACAGATGGAAAACAGGTCTTTACTCAGCAAGTGATAAGAGTAATGTGAGGATCTGTGACGTCACTTCCTTTAGTCACATGGGAGCTGTGTGATAGGGCTGGCCTCTCAGCTAGTTGGAGCAACTTCTTCAAGCAAAGACCTTCACACAGCTCTTTTCTCTGTCAATAACAAGCAGTAATATGCAATAAGGAGTAATGCAGGATAAGTAAAATATATATATAAATAATTAATAATAATAACATAATATATTAATTATGGGGGTCACCGGAAATAGGCTTCACACATTGTACCCATGCAGGGGGAATTGAACTAAGGCCTCTTGCGTGAGGTGTGAACACTTTAACCACTGGGCTAGGCACCAAATCATCATCCTTCACGATGGTGCATGGGAGGAGAGTTGCTAAGGTTGCAGCTTCAAGTTCAAATGGTAATTGGTGACTATGGTGAGGATCACGACTTACATCTGTTGCCTCCGGCCAGACAACCAGGGACTTGAGCTTGGTAAGCTGCTCCAGTGTGATGTACAGCGTGTCTGCCAGGCTGAAGTGAATCAGCTGAAGCTCCTCCAGGCTGACAAAGAGATACACTCCGTATAATGGGTCCACACAGATACTGACAGGCCAACTCAGGGCCATTAGGTCAAAGTGTTGCAAATTTGTTTCCAAGTAGGTAAAAATATCCCTCAAATTCATGTGAAACAATTACTTTGACAAAAGATTGTTTATCATAATTTTGTTTGTTATTTGTTTGTATTTTTTTTGTATGTTGTTTAACGCCGCACTCAGTAATATTTCAGCTATATGACAGTGGTCTGTAAATAATCGAGTCTGGACCAGACAATCCAGTGATTGACATCATAAGCAACGATCTACGCCACTGTGATATGATGACATGCATCAACCAAATCAGGGAGTCTGACCACCTGATCCCGTCAGCCGCCTCTTACAACAAGTAATTAACATGTTATGAAGAGTTATACAGTAAACCATCCAGCATGAAGTAAGCATGATAGGTATTGCTATTATTCTACTGACAAAATATAAGTGAACTGATGAAATGACAGTGAAGTTTTAATGACGATAAATGTCTGTTAAATTTTAGGCATGCAGATCAATTGCAGTAGTGATTATGAGCTCCCTTATAGGCTCACCTCACACACTATGGTTTCTGTGTGCACATGCATCACGTGCTGTTCATGCATGATTTGAAATTTCATTGCGATTAAATGTTACATTCACATGCAACGCCTCATTATTGTAAATGTATCTCTGTACATTGAAATCATTAGTTCCCTTATTTTTCGTTGGTAGTGTACTTGTATCGCAATTGGTTATTGCCAGTTTGGTTATCAGGAAGGAAAATGAAGTAGAACTCAAATAATTTGTATTTTGAAAAAACTTCCATTTTTTAACTACTTGTCATACTTGACAGCTTAATGTATGTGCATACCATCAACCAGAGGCATCTTTCTGTTCTCTTTCATGTCAACAATATAATTCTATTCTTATCAACTGAAGGTTTCTTTGAAGAATGTTAATCTGTGTAATATTGAACAGAGCTGCACAGTTGGAATGTGACGACTGGTAGCTCCACTTACTTCTCCAAGGAGGACAGAGCATCGCCGAGGCCGATGTCAGGGATCTCCCCCCCATACTCCAGGCGGAGGTGAGTGAGGTTCGTCAGCGAGCCCAGCACAAAGTAGGTCTGTAACAATGAACACAATCATAACAATCTCTCTCAGTAACCTACATCTCGCTGAACATGTAAAGGTTCCTTGTTCATCAACACAGACATGTGTCATAATCCGGCATATTAGAGTTTAATGGAGTCGGATTCACTGCCAAATAATCTCATAATTACAAGGTTAACACTTCTCACCCATGGAGAGAAAACGTCCAGAAGACAAACAGCAGTTCTGGTGAATTGACAACACTGCTCATTGCAATCGAAAGATGTTGTAGAATTTTCCTATTCGGAATATTCTATAAGTAATACGTTACCACTGTTATACCGAGGCTGTTGTCTTCCACAACTGCTGCTATAGCGAAATCTACCACAGAGATCTCAATTACCTCATGCAGCACGTGCGTAGCCACCTAGCTGCCATGTGACACCCTTCACTCTTGTCTCTTGCGAGAGCAAGTGCTCGGGGGACGGACGGGCGGGCAGCAGCCCAGTGGTAACGTATTACTTATAGAATATTCCGAATAGGAAAATTCTACAAATTACATTAAGTAATACGTTACCACTGTTATACCGAGGCTGACTACCACAGTAGGCGGTGGGGAGCACCTACAACCCGAATCCTGACTGCTAGCGTTCCTTCTGACCAGCGGAAGTAAACACCAAGGCGGAAGCACTCGATGCGCATGCACCTAGCTAGGCGTTACCCTATAGGAATACCAAAGCACTGTCAAGCGCATACCGTAAGGCTCAATCGTCATTGCCAAAACGATTGGTGACTCCAAACGGCCCCACTGGATAGGTATTTCATCGCCGCAGCGGATGAGAACACTGTATCCGCGTGAGCTTAATCTTAGATCAGGTTAAACAGTCGAAAAGAGGGAAATTAATTTCATTCAGACCGTATATCCCAGAGCAAGCCTACTTAAAGTATGCATTAGGCGCGTGACCTAATTCCAGTATTTGTAAGCATGCATCACAAGGTTGGGATACACGACAGACAATTAAAGACATAATTGTCAAAATACAAATAAGGACAAAGCACACAAAAAGCCGCCCTCACCTGTGGTGTGAGTGCGCTGGTTTGCGGGACCCCAACTCCTGTACCCACGGCAGTGGGAACATTGGAGTCGACCCAGATTGACCACCCTGCGAAGGTCAGACGCCTGAGGAGTTCGGAATTGCGCTGGGCACACCCCTTAGTTGCCCGCTTGCGCCACGATCCGCGGGCCAAGACGGTGCACACTCTCCACGACGGCATCAGCGACCTGTTTGAGGTAATGATTGGCAAAAACCGAGTCAGAACGCCAGTAACAACCTCGTAATATTCTGCGAACAGAGATATTCGAGTGTAGGGCAAATGTTGCAGCTAGCGCCCTGATCTCGTGCGGGTTTGACCCCGCTACCGGTAACCCCCGAGACGGGTACGCCAGATTGATGACAGAACGAAGCCACAACGCAATCGAGTTGCGAGTTATGTCAACCGTGCGATTAGGGTTACACGATATGAACAGACGGTCACGCCCTTGTCTACGTTCATTCGAAGCCTTAAGATAATACTTAAGGGCCCTAACCGGACACAGCGCTCTGTCCTCAGTATCAGCAGGATGTAAGATTTCTTTGAGTGATCTTACAGTGAATTCTCTCTCCGATTGCCCGATTCTCTGATTCTTGGCGACGAAGCCCATGAGCAGGCCCAGGCGGACCGCTCCTTCGTCACCCCTATCGAATCGTGCCTTGGCGACATCGAGTGCATGAATTTCGGATACACGTGCCGCCGTGGCAAAGGAGAGGAGAAATGCTGTTTTCCAAGTCACATGCCGGAACGAAGCACTATGCAAGGGTTCATACGGAGCTTCCGTAAGTGATTGCAACACTAGGGAAAGATCCCAGGCCGGTGCCCGAAGGCGGCCCTTCTTAAGATCGTGCTGTTTGAAACCCTTGATAATACCCCGTATCACCGGCTCTTTGGAGAGACTGGTACCCATAGCAACGTCCCGTACCGTAGCAACGGACGAGACATAGTTGGCAATGGAACCCCCGGAGAGTTTCCGGGTCTCTCGCAAGTGAGGCATGAAACGAGAAATATCCTGCACAGATACCTTATCTGGCGAATGAATGTGATGTTTACAACACCACTTCGTGAAAATAACCCAACGTGCATTATACACCTTCTGGGTAGAATCACGATGCATACTAACGTATGCCCGAGACGCCCGGCGAGAAAAAACTTTACTCCTCAGACGCTCGGTGACAACATCCACGCGTGCAGATTGAACTGCCCTGCGTTTGGATGAAGCTGACGGGTGTGAGGGTGGATCAAGAGATCCGGTCTCACAGGCAGTGGAAGTGGCGACTGCGTGACCTGGGTCAGCAAGTCGGGGTACCACGATCTGTTCGGCCACATGGGCGCGAACAGTAACATTCGACAGCGAACTCCTCGGAGCCGGCTTAGAATGTGTGGTATCAACGCTGTCGGCGGGTAAGCATAAGCGACCAAGCCCGTCCAGTCTAACGCGAGAGCATCGTGATCGATGGCCCTCGGGTCCGGGACTGGTGATACAAACAACGGGAGTTGATTGTTGAACCGCGTTGCGAACAGGTCGACCATCGGACGACCCAAACGTTCGCACAGCCACTGAAACACTACTGGGTTCAGCATCCACTCTGTGAGGCTCGGATCCTGAGGCCTCGATAGAGAATCGGCCAGTACGTTCTGAACACCTGGGATGTGACGGGCGCGTATCTGGCACGGGACACTGTCCACCAGAGCGTAAAACTCGAACGTGAGATCGAGTAGCGAGTGACTGTGGGTTCCCCCCAGTTTGTTCACATAGGACACTACCGTCGTGTTGTCGGTCGCCAGCATGAGCCGGGCGTCGACGAGACGATGCTTCCAGTGATTGACTGCGTTGATCACTGCCTTGAACTCGAGACAAGTGATGTGAAGACCTAGTTCGTCTACGTACCACAGCCCCGAGCTCACCTCCCCCTTTAGATGGGCGCCCCAGCCCACTAGAGAGGCGTCTGTATACAGGGTCAACGTGGCCCGGTAGGGCCGCATAGAGACTCCTAATAAGACAATGTAAGGGACCGTCCACCACTCCAGATGCGGTCGGAGCCGATCCGGGAGGGCGACGGTCGCACTGTTCACCTCCGTTGCTAACAACTGGATTAAAAACCGTTGCAGCGGGCGGAGTTGGAGACGACCCCGTGCGGTGCAGTCCTGGGCTGATACAAGTAGCCCTAACAGCTGTTCCCAAAAGTGAACAGTCTGTTGCACCGCTAAGACTTTGGCAAACATCGCCTGAATTTTGTGCCACCGGTCTGGGGGGACAAAGAGGCGATGGGACACCGTGTTGAACCGACCTCCGATGAACAGCAAGTTCTGAGAAGGGGTTAACTCGCTCTTGGGGAGATTGATAATCCACCCAAATTGCTCCAAGAGCCGACGTGCGAAATCGAGATGGCGTGACAGGGTGTCCGTCATTCGATTTGCTACTAGCGAGTCGTCCAGGTACGCGAAGTACCGGACACCCCTCCTGTGGAGGAACCCCACTATGGGGGTGGTTAACCGGGTGAACAGCCAGGGAGCGGACGTGTGAATCATTCTGAGTTCGGCACTGTCCTACTTGGGAACGAGAAATATCCTGGAGTAAAACCCTGGTGTTATTTCTGGTAGAGCTAACTCCCGTACTGCCCCTTCTCCACCAACCTGCCGATGGCATCGGAGAGGATGGGAAGATCGGTTTCCTGCCAACGGGGCAACGGTGAGCGGCGGATTCGCTTTGAGATCAAGCCGATAGCCGTACCGAATCATGTTGACCACCCACGGGTCGTCGAACACTTGTTCCCAATTCTCCCAGTAAGTCTGGAGTCTGGCTCCCACTGGGGAAGGAGAGGGGGCCCTGACAGGTTGCAGCAGGCGCAACTGTCCAGGGCCAAGTGACTCGGGTTCGCCTAAGGGCCAACCGAAGTTGGCGCTGTCGGCATACGAACCCCTCCAATGAGAGTCACCTGGAGGGGCCCTTGCCGTCCGTCGACGACTTGGGCTTCCCCCAGTTCCCCGTCTTCCCGCGAAAGGGCAGCTGATTGCCCATACCGGAGCCCTCAGGGCGGGCTACTTCCCAGAGGAAGAAGAACCCGACCCCTTAGACCTACAGGCCGCAGCAGCCTGGGGCGCGCTCCGGTTAGGAGCGGCACCCAGGCGCCTATGCAGGGACCCAACAAGAGCAATTGTGTGCCGAGAGTCCTCGGCAACGTACTCCAGGGAAGCATTTAAACTGAGCAGGCAGTTGTAAATGCGCTGGTCATGGTCCGTGGGAGAACCTTCGACCAGACGGGCCGCTGCAGCCAAGTAAGTGTCTCCGTGAGACATGGAGTGCCGAGCGAGGGCGTCCAGCTGGTGCAAGGTAGCTTGCGTTACCGTAGCAGCCGGTGGGGCACGGACACCCAACCGCTCAACATGGGCCTCCGCGGTAGGACCAGCCTCGGGAAAGGCAAGGTCATGTACCGGGAATAAACCCTTTCTCCACGACGTCGGAGGCAAGGGGAGACCCCGACCGGAGGCCGCCGCGAAGGCGTTCTCCAAGGAAGGCTTGAAACCGTGCAGCAAGGTCGATGCGGGGAAAGCCGTGTCGGAAGACTCATCGTATACCTCGGAGGAACCCACAGTCGTGGATTCCCCGCGGTACCGGCCGGGGCATGTCCTCAAAGAGGTCATAAACCATGGCCATGCGGTCCTAAACCGATAGCGGGAGCAACGGTTCGGGGGAAGGACCGGTGACCACGGGAGCCGCCGCCGTACCGGTGGACCCCGCGTCCGACCCCGCGGCCACCGAAGTGGCCGGAGACGGAACAGCCAGCGGCCTATCCTGAGATAAGGCCGCCAGCTTGGAGTCCACAAGTTATGCAAGTAATGCAGCGACGGAATCCCCGGAGAGCACACGGGCCGCCAAGAGATCCGCCGCTTTACCGGTGGACCCCGCGGCCACCGAAGAGGCCGGGGACAGAACAGCCAGCGGCCTATCTTGCGATAAGGCCGCCAGCTTGGAGTCCACAAGTTTCGACAACAATGCGGCGACGGAATCCCCAGACAGCCCGAGGGCCGCAAGGGGATCCGCCGCAGCCGAGGAGGTGGTACCCGCACGGGGACCCCGACCGGACGAACCGGCCACCACAGGGGTGGAGACGGACTGGACGTACAGCCGGTACCGCTCAAACTCCGCAGGCCCCAGACCTTCGCACAGGATGCACCGGGTGTCCCCGCAAGGAACCCTGCACCGCGGGCAACGATCGTGGGGATCCCGGGAAGACAAAAACTTTCTGCACACCCCACAACTCCGAGGAGCAGGGGTAGAGGGGGTGGATACTGGGGACATATCCATGTCAGACATTGATTGTTTGCTATAAACAAAGAACAAAACATGGTTACAACGCACGCACCACAATGATTCACAAACGAACATTTTCACAAGAAAATAAACGAGCAATGTGAACATATAACATACACATATAACTTTTATTAAAGAAATAAGTTATGTTAACCCCCAAAACATACAAGAACAGGGGAAACGTAAAACACAACGTGCATACGCGAACCCCGCAAGTATATAGAAAAAAGGGCGGGAAAATTATAACCAAGCGTAGCTACCGCAACGACCATTAAAAGCACAGTTTATTAGAGAATAAACTATAATAAATATCACCAAATCTTCAAGGAACGCTTCAGCAGGAGAAAACACGTCTTGCTAAGCAGACGAAGGAGACAAGAGTGAAGGGTGTCACATGGCAGCTAGGTGGCTACGCACGTGCTGCATGAGGTAATTGAGATCTCTGTGGTAGATTTCGCTATAGCAGCAGTTGTGGGAGACAACAGCCTCGGTATAACAGTGGTAACGTATTACTTAATGTAATTGTTTTACACAAGTAACAACACATGGACTACAATCACCGCTGGATTGACCTACTTCATTTGAATCTGCCTCATCTGGAGTTTTATGCGAATGTCATGGCGGGAAAGCAAACAATAATTATTAACTACTACTACCCCATATTATATCATGGAAGTCCAAGTAAATAGTCTTGCCGTTGGTGTTTGCTGATGAGTGTCTTTAGATTTCTAAGGAAAGGCTAATCGCATTAGCTTGACACCTTTAAGGCTAGAGGTTGGCAATTGCATTTACTTTGTGATCAACTTATATCAGAATTTCCCAGAATCCTCACAGGGTCCCATCATTGCCCCTACTACAATAGAATGTCCACAGGGAACCTTTCACACACCACACTTCAACTCACCTCTGATGACCAGGTGTTACAGGTGCCTCACAAGTTCACCCTGCTTCAACTCACCTCTGATGACCAGGTGATATATGTGCCTCACTAGTTCACCCTGCTTCAACTCACCTCTGATGACCAGGTGTTACAGGTGCCTCACTAGTTCACCCTGCTTCAACTCACCTCTGATGACCAGGTGTTACATGTGCCTCACTAGTACACCCTGCTTCAACTCACCTCTGATGACCAGGTGTTACAGTTGCCGACCTCCAGGAACTTGAGCTGCTTCATGTCACGGAGGAAGTGGAATTCATTATCTGGGATGGACTTCAGCGTAGTCAGGGACTGAACACAAAGAAGGAACTAGTTAATCACAGGTAACACTTAGTCACATAGAGTTGTCCTACTTATTCCAGCAAAGCATGAAGCGTGTTCAAGTAGAAAACAAACACTGTCTTACCAGGGTTTCCAGGTTCTTGAGAGCTGCCAGTTCCGCCAGGCCTCCATTGAATGAGAAGGCAGGTAGAGTGAGGCCCCCGGTACCTCGGAGTCGCAGTTCACGCAGGTGCTTCAGACACACGAACTTGCCCAGGTCAATTTTACATGGTATGTTCCTGGTGGGAAGAAGACAGTATATTCATGAGGATATATAACAAGATGTCACAAATATCCCATGTTGTTACATAGCAACGTTTCATAATATATGTCAGTAGCATAGTGTGGGGTTATGAAGATGACCACAAATACTCCTTGATCTGCACAACACATGACAAACACAGAATCCACTTCCTTTAACTCACTTTAAAGTCTTCCTCACAATGTTGGGTCATACATTCATGTGTTTAGATATGACATGTTTACAAGTTCAATTGGTCATCAATATTTGTTAAAATGTCTTGTGCTGCCTGAGGCTATTTATGGTAATGCTTATCAGTGTAGTATATTGTTTCAAGAGTAATGTTAAAAATTAACTTGGTGTGATGCACATATGTGTACAAGTCCATCCATCATCTACGGGCAGTATGAAGTTACAGATGTGGCCATGTACCTATTCTGATCTCCGTTGACCTCTGAGATGTACTCTGATTTGAAGACTTCGAGGTTGCCCAGTTTCTCACACACCAGGTGGAGCACAGAGGCTGGGACATGGCCGAACTCGATCTCTCGCAGACCCACCAGGTGATGCAGGTTGGCAATCATCAAATGCCATGTCCTGTTCCTGTCATGTTTGTGGAACATCCCTTGCAGGCACTGCAACATAAAACCAGGCCGTCGACATGATGGGCACGTCCATCAAAACATGGGCTTGGCTTCAGTCCCAAGAAGTAATACAACAAAACATGGGCTTAGCTTCAGTCCCAAGAAGTAATACAACAAAACATGGACTTAGCTTCAGTCCCAAGAAGTAATACAACAAGGACTTAGCTTCAGTCCCAAGAAGTAATACAACAAAACATGGGCTTAGCTTCAGTCCCAAGAAGTAATACAACAAAACAAGGACTTAGCTTCAGTCACAAGAAGTAATACAACAAAACATGGACTTTGCTTCAGTCACAAGAAGTAATACAACAAAACATGGACTTAGCTTCAGTCCCAAGAAGTAATACAACAAAACATGGGCTTAGCTTCAGTCCCAAGAAGTAATACAACAAAACATGGGCTTAGCTTCAGTCCCATGAAGTAATACAACAAAACATGGACTTAGCTTCAGTCCCAAGAAGTAATACAACAAAACATGGGCTTAGCTTCAATCCCATGAAGTAAATAATACAACCTGGGATTAGCTTCGATTCCTCGAAGATAACAATACATCAAAATATTGCTACAGCACAAAAGTTTATCAAGTGAGTATGAAAACCTAATTTTGTTGAAAGGGAGCATGTTTATCATTTACAACTGAAATGAAGTGAACCAGCTATTGTACACTTGCACAGTATCAAATTGTCACTGTTGTTTGTTTGTTACATGATGCTTCATTCAACAATATTCCAGCCATATGACAGCTTCCTGTGAATTACAATCAAATCTGGACTACACAAACCAGTGACAGAGATCATGATCAACGTCCACGTCATCTGGGTACAATAACTGCAAGCAGGTTAGTCACTGAGTCGGACCCCCCCCCCCCCCCCCGATCCATGTAGTCAGCCATAACACAAGCACCAAATCCCCTGGCACAATGTCACTGCGGCAAGAATCTATTGCCATGATTTGTGCTGCAAGGGAATGGTGACATAATATATTAGGCAGTTTACAGCTGTGAGAACATCGTCAACAGACTATATTCTCACAAAATGAGGAAAGTTGACCCTGTGTCAAGTATGTATATCTATACACTATTCATGTTAGATATTATGATAAGCTGCCAATGAAGAGAACTCCACATTTCTGATGTTTGCCCTTATAAGCCGTAGGCACCTGGGACCTGCAGTACCCTGTACTACCAACAGACAGGAAGACTAAAAACATGCACGGTTGTGAAACCTACCAGACTCTCGACTCGGACCTTCCTAAAGAACTGTGCTGCAGGTTCCCACTCGCTGATCACTGTGCTCCGGAGACGAACTCGCTTCCACTGCAACAACACAGAACACTCAAACATCAGGGACTTTTTGTTTAATGCTGCATTCAGCAATAGCACAGCAGTAGCACAGCAGTAGCACAGCAGCTTGTAAACAATTGAATCTGGGGTCAGGCAAACCAGTGACTGATATTATGAGCAACATCTGACACCACCAGGTTACAGTAACAAGTTACAAAAGGGGCTAGCCTAACCGTACAATCCATGGAGGTACCTCTTACAACAAACATTGTCCACTCTATGCTGGAATCCCACGCAGCTACTAAGGAACTTCGTCACAAAACACAATATATTCTAAACAAGTGATCAAACATCAACATACAATAACTTCTAAGATGGTAATAAAGCATAAAGATTGTTAACTTTTCCATGACTTGATAATTGGAACAATTATTGTAATAATACTCACCAAACATGGTTGTAAGGAGATTTTATTCCAAGTACGACAAACTGCTCCAGCCCTGTCAAAACAACATCAACATAATCAGCAGAAGCAGCAGAAGCATTCGAACCTATCAATTTAAACCTTATCAACGTAAATCAACAACATCATACATTACAACAGTCCAAATGCAAGATCTCTACTACAAACTAGAAAATAAAATGAACACTTTCAGTACAAATTTCACAATTCAAAACCCACCTTAGGAGATCTTTAGTCCGTAAATATTCGAAGATTTGTAACATACAGTCATAACCTGCATACAGTTTTTTTATATAGCAGCAGGTTGCATCAATAGCTTGTCTCCGCTTAGACGCTCGAGTGGAGGGAGAGGAAATGATGGACATGTCCTTCTTAGCTGCAGGTGGCTCCTCCCCTGGGGGTTGCACTGCTGGGCTGCCTTGTTTAGGGTCAGCACTATCCATAGAAGCTGTGTTATTGGACACTGTCACACTAAGTTTGGCATTGGGATCTGTTGGAAGAGGGAACGTGTTGGGAGGGAGCAGCACCTTCAACCCGTCACTCGAGTTTATTACACATGACGGAGGCACCACAATCTGAATATTGTTGATTTTCAAGGCCAAAGGCTGTGAAAGTTTTAATCTCTTTGTCACACCTTCTGGTAGAGTCAATAATTGTGCATTGAGAGGAATTTCCGACTGCTTGGAAGTGCTTGTAGTGAGCTGTGCGTCAGTCCTAGGCTGGATTCCATTTGAACCTTGAGACACCGGTACAAGCACCCCCGGGGCCACTGTAAGCCTGGGGGGTGGAATAGTGGGCATGGTGGCCTGAGCAGGCTTGTTGAGAGATTGCTGGGGTGGGGGGCGTAACAAAGTGAGAGGGGGCGCGGCCCGTACTACACCTGAAGTAGGGATGGAAATTGTGGCTGGGGTGGGGAGAATGGGTGGTGCTCTCACACTGGTATTGACAAGAGTATGTACCGGCACTGGTGCTCTCACCGTTGCCGTGGGGATACTCATAGTCCTTACACTGTTGGTAGCCAGTAAACTGGTCATCCTTGGAACCTGACACACAGGCACAGATGTCACTATATTCAAACTGGTGAAGTTGGGCAAGTTGGGCTGTCTCCGGTCAAGGATTGATCGTAATGCTCCAATGGCATCTGAATTCTGGTTGATTGTTGTTGTTGTTGGGACTGTCCTGCTGGGCCGTATAACACCGGGGGTAACTGCCACAGGAATGGTTGGACGCATCATTATAGTGGATGTCGGGGTCACAAACGGCCCAGACACAGCTACGAGAGAGGTTGGTGTCGGGATAGACGAGTTGGGCATGACTAGTGTGGGTCGGATTGACACAGTGCTGGCTGGAGTGCTCAGAGACTTCGTGGGATGCTGGGCACATATCTGCAGAATCAGAAAGACTTCTTCTGTCAACCATCACAACATTCACATTCCACAAAACACATAGGACTAGGTTAAATTGATTAGAACATCAGTTCTAGTTTTGTCACTGAAATCTTCAATTAGTTGTAGGATGTGATACTCCTTTATAACCTATGAAGTGAAGGTGGGGTAAAATGGGTTTTAACGTCGTGTCCAAGATTTTTGCACTTATATAGCATTCACTCTGTGTGTGTTGTGTGTTTTGTGTGTTCCACTCTCTGAGAGAATGCACTTCCCCTAGAACACAGAGGCCGTCATATTGGATTATGAATCCATTTCTGATATTTTTCATTTTCAAAAATCTCTTTAAAATTTTGAAGGTTTCATATTGTTTGATATTGTTACAACACACTATCAACACATGAGCAAAATGCACCATTTAACCTGAACCTACCAGACAGAGGAAGCTGGTCTTTAAGCCCCTGACCCTACCAGACAGAGGAAGCTGGTCTGTTAGCCCCTGAACCTATCAGACAGGGGAAGCTGGTCTGTTAGCCCCTGAACCTACCAGACAGGGGAAGCTGGTCTGTTAGTCCCTGAACCTACCAGACAGAGGAAGCTGGTCTGTTAGCCTCTGAACCTACCAGACAGAGGAAGCTGGTCTGTTAGCCCCTGAACCTACCAGACAGAGGAATCTGGTCTGTTAGCCCCTGAACCTACCAGACAGAGGAATCTGGTCTGTTAGCCCCTGAACATACCAGACAGAGGAATCTAGTCTGTTAGCCCCTGAACCTATCAGACTGAGGAAGCTGGTCTATTAGCCCCTGAACCTACCAGACAGGGGAAGCTGGTCTGTTAGCCCCTGAACCTACCAGACAGGGGAAGCTGGTCTGTTAGCCCCTGAACCTACCAGACTGAGAAAGCTGGTCTGTTAGCCCCTGAACCTACCAGACAGAGGAATCTGGTCTGTTAGCCCCTGAACCTACCAGACAGAGGAATCTGGTCTGTTAGCCCCTGAACCTACCAGACAGAGGAATCTGGTCTGTTAGCCCTTGAACCTACCAGACAGGAAGCTGGTCTGTTAGCCCCTGAACCTACCAGACAGGAAGCTGGTCTGTTAGCCCCTGAACCTACCAGACAGAAAGCTGGTCTGTTAGCTCCTGAACCTACCAGACAGGAAGCTGGTCTGTTAGCCCCTGAACCTACCAGACAGAAAGCTGGTCTGTTAGCCCCTGAACCTACCAGACAGGAAGCTGGTCTGTTAGCCCCTGAACCTACCAGACAGAGAGCTGGTCTGTTAGCCCCTGAACCTACCAGACAGAGGAAGGTGACCTTGTCTTCCTTGCAGTTGACACACCGGGGATGGAAGAGACACATACATCCAGCACACTGTAGAGTGGGGGGGGTCCCCTCCAGCCCTGGACACTGCAATGTGCACAGCTGACCCAGGGAGCCCGGGGGAGACAGGGGCGTTGTCGTCTTGCTGGACGCAGAAAGAAACCATTAATTCAACACTGTATAAGTCTTCTCAAATTAGTAAAGCTAACTTTTTTTTAACATTTTGATACTTATCCTGAATTGCTACCTCAATGCTTCTACTGCTGTTCTGTGACTAGGAGACGGAGCTGTGAGAGGTCCTGGCTACAGAAATTGTTGTACCAACCACTTACTTCCTCCCACAGCTACCATGTGACTGGAAGTGGCGATGACAGCCATTACCACATCACTGCTAGTAACGGACATCTGAAAGAATTTTGCAGGGAGGTACCAAAGCAATGGGAGGGCACTTTAGACGTTCTAATGCAGGATAAGTATCCAAAAGTAAGTAATATTTAAAATTTTACAATTTTTGTTATCTTATTCTTCATTACTACCTTGCATCTTTACCTCTGCATCTTTATCAGACGGAACAGAGAGGAGCACACCTTTCAGATGGAATTCAGGATATACCCTCCAACCAGTCCGGGTAACCAGATAGCATCCTGAGTGGGAATCTACTAGTCTGGGATAATTACTACCAGAGAGGTTGCAGGGTCAGTTCCAAGTTGTAAGAATCTGGGGTCTGGGGTTAAGATTGTCTGGGGTTAGTCACCTGCTGTGCTACCACCAGTGGACCGAAACCATGAGCACCTTGCACATCCTGAAGAGCCACGTCTCAGAGATAATGACTGGCGAAGACCGTATCCGAGCTTATCCGAGTATCCATGATGGAGTGGATGGAACAATTGCTGTGAAGAGCCATGGTCGAGGCGACAGTTCGAATCTCATGGGTATTGTTGGGTCTAGGTCGTATGCCTGCAGTATAATTGAACACAGCCATAGTGAGATAGTGTTACGACTAACTCCCGTCTTGGAGGTAGGCGAGTCCGGAATAAACAGTCGTTTCCAAAATCCACACTTTGATTGATGGAGGAAAACCCTTAAGGCTTCATTTGGGCACAGAAGTAGTTCATCCTCCCACTATTGATGATAAAGGAGGAACGGCGAAAGATCTGTCCGGCTGTCCTGGGAGTTGATTCTTAGCAATGAAATCCCAGCACAGCCCAAGATGGACAGCACCGTGTGCTCTATGTTTGAACCGTACTCGGGATACAACAATGTAACTCATACCAAGCAAATGCCAAAAGGAAAAACGTCTTTTTTGTAAGATTGAAGAAAGCGACGAGTGGAGTGATTCAAAGGGAGCAGTACGGAGCAACTTCAATACCACGTTCAAATCCCAAGCACTAAAGTTCCGGGATCTTAAACATTCTACGATCCGTAAGAACTGCTAACATCTAATTGAGGGCTACCAGATATATAGTTATGGTACTACCCTTGAAGTGTTGCTTGTTGCAGAGAAACTGAAGGAATTCAGCCATAAACTACAGAGTACATGTCAAAGGTCTTTGTGCAAAGAAGCCGAGTAACCTTTATCACCTAGGGCACAGGGGAGATGTGCCAAGCGTGCAGACAAAACTTGACTGGAGCTAGGTGTGGCAACTGACTGTGGGGATGTACCAGTAGGTGTGGCCACCTTTGGGAGCTGTAGGTTCGGAGTCTGGCTGGTGGCAAATAAGTGAATCAGTGACAGGCACTAGACGACTGTGATGTTGTCTTGGACATGGCGAGCACTTGGCGCTGAAGCCAGTACTGCCAGTGAGACATGGCCAGGATGAGTTCTTCGAGTTCCAAACTGTTATGTGCCACCAGAGCTGATTGTATGACCACAGATCGGAGGCTGTCTGGTCCTCCAGATGTGCCCCCCCCCCACAAGCCCTGTCATGAGGCGTCAATGAACAGGTGGAGTGAAGGCTTGAGCGCTGTCAAGGTGACGCTGTCACAGACATTTGATCTCACATTTGCGTCCACAAACGCAGATACAGGCGGAGGTGAGTCTGGAGGGCTATAGAGGTCCGTGGGTTCTGCCGATGTCAGATCCTGAGCTGACGTGAGAAGGCCCATTAATACATGCCATTGATGCAGAGTGCTAGCTTTGTGAAGGGCAGGAAGAAGATGGTGCTGTGTTTTGTGCCACCTGTCGTCTGGTACCAGGAGGAGATCCTGGTCTGTGCGAAACTGGCCGCATATAAACCAGAGCTTGAAAGACGGAGTGAGTTCCGACTTGAGCTCGTTGACAATCCATCCCAGTTGTGTGAGTAGACGACTCACGAAATCCCTGTGAAGTAGAAGCGTTTCTGTGTCCTGATGATTCAGTAGGCAGTCAACGATGTAAGACTCGAACTGAACGTTACTCAGGTGCAGGTATGCCGTAATTGGCTTGATGATCTGGGTAAACATCCATGGGGCTGTGGAAATGCCAGATGGGAGGACCGGCCACTAGTAGTGGATACCCTGGAAAGAGAACCTAAGAAATTTCCTGCAACTGGGGCGGATGGGTACATGTAGCATCCTGGAGGTCGAGACTGATCAGGGAATCGTTGGCATTGATTCTGGTCCTGAGCAGTCTCAATGTAGTTAGATGAAAGTAGGGAGGACAATCGAGGTAGTGCTTGTTGAAGACAGCGAGATTGTGTATCATCCGGAATTTGGATGAATCCTTCTTGGGCATCAGGAACACTGGAGAATATAATCCTGGATGTGCCACTAGATCGGGAACAGTCCCGACCACCTGCTTGAGCACCAGAAGCCAGACAAGAGAGTCGGGCGTCCGCCATGGGGTAAGAGGTGGGTGAGGTGAAATTGGGTTTAACGTCGCGTCCAAGATTATTGCACTTATATAGCGACGTGCATGCACGTGTATGTGTGTGTGTGGCTGCTTGTACTAGTCCGGACTGATGCCGATTTATAGTGCTAGCTCACTGAGATACCATGCCGCAGTTTAACATGAATACCCCACTCAGACACAGTATACTGACTCCGAGCCGACCAGTCCTTGTTTTAGCCCCTTAATGCCGAGCGCCAGACAGGGTAACAACAAGTACAATCTTTTAACGTCTTTTTGTATGACGCGGCCCGGGATCGAACCCCGGACCTTCCGCTCTCCGGGCGGACGCTCTACCACAAGACCACGGAGGCGGTCCCATGGGGTAAGAAGTTAGTGATGGGTCTTCTATGAGAGAGAACCGGTATCCCTGACAAATGATGTTGGTGACAAAAGGATCTTAAAGAATTGTCCAACTGGCCCAAAACCTGGCCAGTCTCCCACCTGTGGGCATGTCTATAACTGGGACGACTGGTGGTGGGAGACCCCTTGTGTTGGCGATGGCGGGGTTGATAATTGCCTTGTGGCTTTGTACGGTCTTGACTTGAGGGCAAGCCTTAAGAGAGGTGCGCCTAGGCTGATAATTGCCTGTTTTAGCTGGTATAATTTGTGCTGATTGTAGACATGCTCCAAAGTTGGAGACATGTGCTTGGGTTGCAGAGATCATACCCTAGTACACCAGACTATAATATATACAACTGAGAACGTATTGGTTATCAAAGGATAAGCAAAAGGATAGGCAAAGGATGCTATCTGGTTCTTCAAACTGGGGAGCTTTATTCTCAAACGTCTGTACAGTCAGATGACTAGCAGTGATGTGGTTATACGTGACATCTCCACCTCCAGTCACATGGTAGCTGTGGGAGGGAGGAAGCCACACAACTAGTCGGTACAACAATTTCTGAAGCCAGGACCTCTCACTGCTCCGTTTCCTAGGTCAAAGAACAGCAGTAGAAGCATGAAGGTAGTAATACAGTATAAGATAAAAACTTGAACAAATATCCCGAGCCCTAAAAGATCAAAAGAAATCCCAACCTCTACATTGCATAATTAGAAACATTTTCACTTGACATTAATGAAATAATTGGAATCAGAAAAGTGAAACCTGAGCGTGCAATGACAATCATTGAGTTACAAGGGCTAATCTAAAAAAATCCCTACCTCGGAGGCTTAAAGCTTGGGATACGTGGAGTTGTGCTCTTCCTGGCAGTAGCTTTTTTCCGTGGCGGGCCAGAGCTCGTGAAGGAGCCACTGGCATCATCATCACTGTCCGTGTCCACATCGCTGTGGGAGCGCTTGATGCTGACAGCAGGCGAGGCAAACCGGACAGTGGGGCTGAAGTTGACATCAGTGTCCCCTTCATCCTCCTCGTCCTCCTCCTCCTCCCTCTCAATCACAACCTCGGGGGGAGGGTAGGACAGCTTGGACGGACGGCCTGGTCTACGTCTGGGGGAGGCTATACTGTCAGATGCAAGTGTGGCATTCCTTGTTGACACCGGACTCTCTGCCTTGAGGCTACCAGTAGAAAACGCAAGCTCGTTATTTCTAAAGGGAGTAGATGCATGTTTAGGGGAAATGGCAAAACCAAAATGTTTGTTGTACGCCGAACTCAGCAATATTCCAGTTATATGACGACGGTCTGTAAATAATCGAGTCTGGACCAGACAATCCAGGGATTGACATCATAAGCATCAATCCATGCAATTGGGATATGATGACATGATGCATCAGTCAGCGAGCCTGACCACCTGATCCCATTAGTCGACTCTTACGACATGCACAGTCGCCTCTTAGGACAAGTATGGGTTGCTGAAGGATTATCTGGTGACGATACCCTTAATACATTTTTACATTTCCTTTATTTTTCAATGTTGTAAATAATATTCATTATTTCACTGCAAAGGCATGAGTTGAAAATATGGATTTATAATCTACATTTATACGCTCATCATTTCATTATCTCTTGATCATTGAGTTGCATGTGATTCGTAGTACACAGTTCATACAATACTGTCAAAGAGACCCACCTCACTCGGAACACTGTACTATTCTCTGGACTCGGCGAGGCTGAGCGCAAACCTTGACCTCGACCTGGAGATGCGCCTCGACCTCGACCGCGACCCCTTCCTCTCCCCCTTCCTCGACCTCTCCCAAATCCCCCACCACCTCCTCGAGACTTTTTCTGGAAACATCTCCGTCCTCTGTTTGCCTGCCTCAAGACTTCAAACGGTGGTTGAGAGATACACTTCCGGGCAAAGGAAAAGTTGTCGATGGACAATGGGGACTTGGTCTTTGTCACTGTTGAAGATAAGGAAATGGGTGTAACCTCATGTCCAAGATTATTGCACTTACCGTATTCGACGTATTAAGCGCCCCGCTCTAATAAGCGCCCACAGCGAGATTTGCTGATATATTGGCTAGTGAACAATCCCAATTAGCACCCCTTCCGACCCCTATTCCATATAATACGCACCGCTTCCTTCCCCTATTCGCGTATAATACGCACTGTGTGATATATGCACCCTTTATTATTGGCAATTAAATTTTTGAAACATATATCTGTCATACATAAACATTTCAGGCTGTCAGCATAAATCACGAAATTTATCTTTCAACTCTGTTTTTTTCACCAAAATAATATTCTAATAAGAGCCCCCTATTTCTAATTTTGAGAGCGCCCTGGGCGCTTATTACGTTGAATACGGTATATAGCGACTTGTCTGCAAGTGCATGTGTGGCTGCTTGTACTAGTCCGGACTAATGCTAATTATATAGTGCTAGCACACTGAGATATCATGCCACAGTTTAACTTGAATACCGCACTCAGACACAGTATACTGACTCAACGCCGACCAGTCCTTGTTTTAGCCCCTTATTGCTGAGCACCAAGCAGGGTAACAACAAGTACCATCTTTTAGCATCTTTTGGTATGAAGAGGCCGGGGATCAAACCCTGGACCTTCCACTCTCCAGGCGGAAGCTCTAAAAAGCTGTAACAATCCCAACAATGATTGGGATAGTGTGCCCATTCCTTGTCTTTTAATGACATTAGGTTGATAATATCCTTCACACTCTTCCCATATTACGCACATAGGCAGTCTCTCAGGGTTATCAGGGTTATCAGGTTTCGCATCAGAGTTGATGCCTGTCCAGAATGTTTGATGCTTAAATTGCTTATAATATATACATCCCCCAATGTGAAATATGTTCTAAAACAATTTGTACTATCACTGAGAAATGGAGTACTTAACACTGAATTCAACACGCTAAACTTTTGCCTTGGTTTGATTGATATGTGAGTGAGTGAGTGAGTATGGTTTAACGCCGCTTTTAGCAATATTCCAGCAATATCACGGCCGGGGACACCAGAAATGGGCTTCACACATTGTACCCATGTCGGGAATCGAGCCAGGGTCTTCGGCGTGACTAGCGAACGCTTTAACCACTAGGCTACCCGACCGCCCCGATTGATATGTGAAATGACACATGATGAGGAGTCATGCTTTGAGCACACCCTCCATGATAAGGATTCTTGTAGAATTTTCCTATTCAGAATATTCTATAAGTAATACGTTACCACTGTTATACAGAGGCTGTTGTCTCCCACAACTGCTGCTATAGCGAAATCTACCACAGAGATCTCAATTACCTCATGCAGCACGTGCGTAGCCACCTAGCTGCCATGTGACACCCTTAACTCTTGTCTCTTGCGAGAGCAAGTGCTCAGGGGACGGACGGGCGGGCAGCAGCCTAGTGGTAACGTATTACTTATAGAATATTCAGAAAATTCTACAAATAACATTAAGTAATACGTTACCACTGTTATACCGAGGCTGACTACCACAGTAGGCGGTGGGGAGCACCTACAACCCGAATCCTGACTGCTAGCGTTCCTTCCGACCAGCGGAAGTAAACACCAAGGCGGAAGCACTGTTGCGCATGCACCTAGCTAGGCGTTACTAGGAATACCAAAGCACTGTCAAGCGCATACCGTAAGGCTCAATCGTCATTGCCAAAACGATTGGTGACTCCAAACGGCCCCACTGGATAGGTATTTCATCGCCGCAGCGGATGAGACACTGTATCCGCGTGAGCTAAATCTCAGATCAGGTTAAACAGTCGAAAGAGGGAAATTAATTTCATTCAAACCGTATATCCAAGAGCAAGCCTACTTAACGTATGTATTAGGCGCGTGACCTAATTCCAGTATTCGTGAGCATGTATCACAAGGTTGGAATACACGACAGACAATTAAATGCATAATTGTCAAAATACAAATAAGGACAAAACACACAAAAAACCGCCTCACCTGTGGTGTGAGTGTGCTGGTTTGCAGGACCCCCCACTCCTGTACCCACGGCGTGGGAACATTGGAGACGACCCAGATTGACCACCGTGCAAGGACCGACGACTGCGGAGTGTGGAATGGCGCTGGACACACCCCCTAGATGACCGCTTGTGCCGCGATCAGCGGCCCAAGACGGTGCACCCCCTCCACGTCTTCATCGGCAAAAACCGAGTCAGAACGCAAGTAACAACCTCGTAATATTCTGTGAAAAGAGATATTCGAGTGTAGGGCAAATGTTGCAGCTAGCGCCCTGATCTTGTGCGGGTTTGACCCCGCTACCGGTAACCCCCGAGACTGGTACGCCAGATTGATGACAGAACGAAGCCATAACGCAATCGAGTTGCGAGTTATGTCAACCATGCAATTAGGGTTACACGATATGAACAGACGGTCACGCCCTTGTCTACGTTCATTCGAAGCCTTAAGATAATACTTAAGGGCCCTAACCGGACACAGCGCTCTGTCCTCAGTATCAGCAGGATGTAAGATTTCTTTGAGTGATCTTACAGTGAATTCTCTCTCCGATTGCCCGATTCTCTGATTCTTGGCGACGAAGGCCATGAGCAGGCCCAGGCGGACCGCTCCATCGTCACCCCTATCGAATTGTACCTTGGCGACATCGAGTGCATGAATTTCGGATACACGTGCCGCCGTGGCAAAGGAGAGGAGAAATGCTGTTTTCCAAGTCACATGCCGGAACGATGCACTATGCAAGGGTTCATACGGAGCTTCAACACTAGGGAAAGATCCCAGGCCGGTGCCCGAAGGCGGCCCTTCTTAAGATCGTGCTGTTTGAAACCCTTGATAATACCCCGTATCACCGGCTCTTTGGAGAGACTGGTACCCATAGCAACATCCCGTACCGTAGCATCGGACGAGACATAGTTGGCAATGGAACCCCCGGAGAGTTTCCGGGTCTCTCGCAAGTGAGGCATGAAACGAGAAATATCCTGCACAGATACCTTATCTGGCGAATGAATGTGATGTTTACAACACCACTTCGTGAAAATAACCCAATGTGCATTATACACCTTCAGGGTAGAATCACGATGCATACTAACGTATGCCCGAGACGCCCGACGAGAAAAACCTTTACTCCTCAGAAGCTCTGTGACAACATCCACGCGTGCAGATTGAACTGCCCTGCGTTTGGATGAAGCTGACGGGTGTGAGGGTGGATCAAGAGATCCGGTCTCACAGGCAGTGGAAGTGGCGACTGCGTGACCTGGGTCAGCAAGTCGGGGTACCACGATCTGTTCGGCCACATGGGCGCAATCAGTAACATTCGACAGCGAACTCCTTGGAGCCGGCTTAGAATGAGTGGTATCAACGCTGTCAGCGGGTAAGCGTAAGCGTCCAAGCCCGTCCAGTCTAACGCAAGAGCATCGTGATCGATGGCCCTCGGGTCCGGGACTGGTGATACAAACAACGGGAGTTGATTGTTGAACCGTGTTGCGAACAGGTCGACCATCGGACGACCCAAACATTCGCACAGCCACTGAAACACTACTGGGTTCAGGATCCACTCTGTGGGGCTTGGATCCTGAGGCCTCAATAGAGCGTCGGCCAGTACGTTCCGCACACCTGGGATGTGACGGGCGGGTATCTGGCACGGGACACTCTCCACCAGAGCGTAAAACTCGAACGTGAGATCGAGTAGCGAGTGACTGTGGGTTCCCCCCAGTTTGTTCACATAGGACACTACCGTCGTGTTGTCGGTCGCCAGCATGAGCCGGGCGTCGACAAGACGATGCTTCCAGTGATTGACTGCGTTGATCACTGCCTTGAACTCGAGACAATTGATGTGAAGACCTAGTTCGTCTACGCACCACAGCCCCGAGCTCACCTTCCCCCTCTAGACGGGCACCCCAGCCCACTAGAGAGGCGTCTGTATACAGGTTCAACATGGCCCGGTAGGGCCGCATAGAGACTCCTGATAAGACATTGTAAGGGACTGTCCACCACTCCGATCCGGGAGGGCGACGGTCGCACTGTTCTCCTCCTGTGCTAACAACTGGATTAAAAACCGTTGCAGCGGGCGGAGTTGGAGACGACCCTGTTCGGTGAAGTCCTGGGCTGACAAAAGTAACCCTAACTGCTGTTCCCAAAAGTGAACAGTCTGTTGCACCGCTAAGACTTTGGCAATCATCGCCTGAATCTTGTGCCACCGGTCTGGGGGGACAAAGAGGCGATGGGTCACCGTGTTGAACTGACCTCCGATGAACTTCAAGTTCTGTGAGGGGGTTAACTCGCTCTTGGGGAGATTGACAATCCACCCCAATTGCTCCAAGAGCTGACGTGCGAAAGCGAGATGGCGTGACAGGGTGTCGGTCATTCGATTTGCTACTAGCGAGTCGTCCAGGTACGCGAAGTACCGGACACCCCTCCGGTGGAGGAACCCCACTATGGGGGTGGTTAACCGGGTGAACAGCCAGGGAGCGGATGAAAGACGGAATGGGAGTACAACCCAGTCGTAGTGCCTGACTTGAAAGACAAACCTGAGATACTTGTGATGATCCGAGTGAATCGGAACATGCAGATAAGCATCCTTCAGGTCGATCGAAGCGAGCCAGTCGGCCTGCATGATCAGAGCTTTCAGGTCCGCCAAGCTCAACATTCTGAACTTGGGCGGCTTGTGCAGGTAGAACCCGTTGAACGATTTCAAGTTGTGAATCATTCGGCACTGTCCTTCTTGGGAAAGAGAAATATCCTTGAGTAAAACCCCGGTGTTATTTCTGATAGAGATAACTCCTGAACTGCCCTCTTCTCCGATAGCATCGGCGAGGATGGGAAGATCGGTTTCCGAATAGAAACCTGCCGACGAGGGCAACGGTGAGCGGCGGATTCGCTTTGAGATCTAGCCGATAGCCGTACCAGATTGTGTTGACCACCCACGGGTCGTCAAACACTTGTTCCCAATTCTCCCAGTAAGTCTGGAGTCTGGCTCCCACTGGGGAAGGAGAGGGGGCCCTGGCTGCGGCAGGCGCAACTGTCCAGGGCTGAGTGACACGGGTTCGCCCGTGAAAATGGCTGCTGAGAGCCCTTACCGGAGCCCTCAGGGCGGGGCTTCTTCCCGGAGGCAGAAGAACCCGACCCCTTAGGCCTGCCGGCCGCAGCATCCTGAGGCGCGCTCCTGAGGCCTCGGCAGACACAGCGGCCTGTTGTTCTTTTAGAACTCCAGGGATCTTGTTATTAAACAGGGTCCGAGCAGACCAAGGCTGCGAAAGGAGCACCTCCTGATTAGCAGCGTCCAACCCTGAGGCAACCAGATACGACTGGCGCCGGAGAAAATGGCACGTGCCGGAAATAAAGGCCGAAGCCCCGGCAACGTACTCCAGGTAAGCATTTAAACAGATCAGGCAGTTATAAATGCGCTGGTCTCGGTCTGTGGGAGAACCTTCGACCAGACTGGCCGCTGCAGCCAGGTATGTGTCTCCGTGAGACATTGCCAGCATGGAGTGTCGAGCGAGGGTGTCCAGCTGCTGCAAGGTACCTTGTGATACCGTGGCAGCCGGAGGGGCACGGACACCAAAACGCTCAACATGGGCTTCCGCGGTAGGACCAGCCTCGGGAAAGGCAAGGTCATGCACCGGGAAGGACCCTTTTCTCCACAACGGTGGAGGTAACGGGAGACCCCGACCGGAGGCAGCCGCGAAGGCTTTCTCACAGGAAGGCTTAATCCTGCACAGCAAGGTTGATGCCGGGAAAGCCTTGTCGGACGACTCGTCGTACACCTCGGAGGAACCCACGGAGCTGTGGATTCCCCGCAGTATCGGCAGGGGCTTGGGCATGTCCTCGAAGAGGTCATAAACCATGGCCATGCGGTCCTTAACCGATAGAGGGAGCAACGGTTCGGGGGAAGGACCGGTGACCACAGCAGCCGTCGCCGTACCGGTGGACCCCGCGTCTGAAACCCGCGGCCACCGAAGAGGCCGGTGACGGAACAGCCAGCGGCCTTTCCTGAGATAAGGCCGCCAGCTTGGAGTCCACAAGTTTAGATAGCAATGCGGCGACGGAATCCCCGGACAGCCCGAGGGCCACCAAGGGATCTGCCGCAGCCTTGGAGGTGGTACCCGCAAGGGGACCCCGACCGGATGAGCCGGCCACCACAGGGGTGGAGACGGACTGGACGTACAGTCGGTAGCGCTCAAACGCCGCAGGCCCCAGACCTTCGCACTGGGTGCACCGGGTGTCCCCGCAAGGAACCCTGCACCGCGGGCAACGATCGTGGGGATCCCGGGTCGACAAGAACTTGCGGCATACCCCGCAACTCCGAGGAGCAGGGGTAGAGGGGGTTGGAACCGGGGACATTTCCATGTCAGACATTTTTGATTCTATGAACAAAGAGCAAAACATGGTTACAACGCACGCACCACAATGATTCACAAACCCTCCATGATGAGGAGTCATGCTTTGAGCACAACCTCCATGATGACAAGTCATGCTTTGAGCACAACCTCCATGATAAGGAGTCATGCTTTGAGGACACCCTCCATGATGAGGAGTCATGCTTTGAGCACAACCTCCATGATAAGGAGTCATGCTTTGAGCACACCCTCCATGATGAGGAGACATGCTTTGAGCACAACCTCCATGAGGAGTCATCCTTTGAGCACACCCTCCATGGTGAGGAGTTATAATTTGAGCACACCCTCCATGATGAGGAGTCATGCTTTGAGCACACCGTCCAAGGTGAGGAGTCATGCTTTGAGCACACCCTCCATGATGAGGAGTCATGCTTTGAGCACACCATCCAAGGTGAGGAGTCATGCTTTGAGCACACCCTCCAAGGTGAGGAGTCATGTTTTGAGTACACCCTCCATGATGAGGAGTCATGCCTTGAGCACACTGTCCAAGCTGAGGATTCATGTTTTGAGTACACCCTTCATGATGAGGAGTCATGCTTTGAGCACACCTTCATGATAAGGAGTCATGCTTTGAGCACACCCTCCATGATGAGGAGTCATGCTTTGAGCACACTATCCAAGGTGAGGATTCATGCATTGAGAACACGCTCTATGGTGAGGAGTCATGCTATGAGCACAACCTTCATGATGAGGAGTCATGCTTTGAGCACACCGTCCAAGGTGAGGAGTCATGCTTTGAGCACACTGTCCAAGGTGAGGGGTCATGCTTTGAGCACAACCTCCATGATGAGGAGTCATGCTTTAAGCACACCCTCCATGGTGAGGAGTCATGCTATTAGCACACCCTCCATGGTGAGGAGTCGAGCTTTAAGCACACCCTCCATGGTGAGGAGTCATGCTTTGAGCACACCCTCCATGTAGAGGAGTCAAGCTTTGAGTGAGCGAGTTAAAATGCTCCATGCCTTGAGCATGTCTTTCATGGTAAGGGATCTCAATCCCCACCCTTCAAAACCTAAACTGCTTCCTGTCCTTGCCCAGCACTGGAAACATAACTACGTCTGAGCAACTATGTACAATCTAAAATACCATCCAGCAGTAAACCAGTTCAGTTAATCAACATGTTGAAATATGTGGATCATAAATTATATTGGTATACATTCCCAACAGTAAAGTGCAAAGTGTTGTCTCAAGGACACACAGTGGAGGACAGACACAGAAAATCATCACAGTTTCTACTTACAATAATCAGCAATCTGGACCATGGACCTCTGAAAGTAAATGGATTGTGTTTAATAAGTGCAATACAACAACATAAGTCACAAGTCCTTATGATGATATAAGAAAGAAAATCTTACTACTGTTGTTAGAGTCTACAATTTCAATAAACGATTGTGTAGATACTTGTTATTTTTATCTCAATGTAATCTATCCTCAGGTAGTCTGTAAATAATAGTCTGGACCAGACAATCCAGTGATTGATATCATGAGCATCAATCCACGCAAGTGTGCGTGCATATACTAGTCTGGACTAATGCTGATTTTATAGTGCTTCCCCAATGAGATACCATGCCACAGTTTACCATGTATACCCCACTCTGACACAGTATACTGACTCCTATCCGTCTAGTCCTTGTTTAGCCCCTTAATGCCTAGTGCCAGGCAGGGTAACAATAAGTACCATCTTTTTACATCTTTTGGTATGAAGCGGACGGGGATCGAACCTCAGACCTTCCACCCTCCAGGTGGACACTTTACCACTAGACCACCAAAGTGGTCCCAAACAATTGGGATACAATGTCATGCATCAACCAAGTCAGAGTGCCTGATCACCCGATCCCATTAGCCGGCACTTACGACAAGCATGGGTTACTGAAGAACTATTCTAACCCAGATCTTCATGGGTCAGCACAGTAACTCAAACACTTACCAGTTTGGATCCTTCTGGGGGGTGGTAGTAAGTGTCCATCTGGGTGTTGGATCCCTCCACTACTGCACGCACCACCACCTCCCTCCTCCAACCTGCAGCACACAGCACAGGAACTCTCAGCATGGTACCTCCCTACCACCTACCTACTGGGGGAGTTCTAACATCACACCTCTACCAGGGAACTATACACGGGCCATGATGGAAAGGACAATGAAGGAAGAGTGTGCAGGTCTTGTAGGTTCTTTACATGCTTAAAATGAGGTAGAAACAATAGTTATCATTGTTAATAATTCAAAGGAACCAACTCTGTTACATCAACCAACCACCTCCCCAGTATTCTGTATCTAGGATGACTGATGTTGGAAAGAAGTGAAGACTTCCTGTCTGTTCATGGGTAAAAGGTTTAGCAAGGGAGATACTATTAGCATCAAAACTGATTATGGATAGTTGACTGTTGAAAATCTGAAGATTGTGACGACAACCAAACATAAAGGTCTTGTATTTCTAGGAATTGATTGAGTTTTGACCAGACAATCCATTGATTGATATTATGACCTATCTTACACACTGTCACTAGTGTCAGGGTAATATGGTGACAAAGGATCGACCAAGTCACCGAACCTAACCACAAGATCCATTAAGTCGCTTCTTATGAGACCGCTAGGGACCTATTTCCAACCCAAATACCCAAGGAAGTAACGACAGACATTATTCCTTACCATAATCAAAGGGCACCCTCAGTAGTGACATATCCAGCTTGTACTCATGCTGACGACGAGGTGCTGAAATTAAGGATCATGTTGACATTATTATCTCTTTTCAGAGAGAGAGAGAGAGAGACCTATTATCATGTTTATTGTATAATTAATGTCAGCTTCATTTGGTTTGGTTTGCTCAAATATGACATTAATTTCAGTAGTGGTTAGTACTGTCACATCAATTCTGATGACTGTTGTTCTAGTTACAAATAGAACTGACCATGGTCTGAATTATAAGTCAAACACTTATTTAGTTACTTGATGTTCTTTTCTTTTCCTTCCATTCAGCATCAATCATCAAGCCCATGTCATCCTCTTCTGTAACAAATGAGGCACCAAAGTCTTTTGACTTGCGGCCACGTCTGTTTGATCTACCCACAACTTTAACGCCATCAACTTCGGATTCTGTGTCACTGTCATCATCATGCTCAGCAATTTTGTTGACATTCTCTGCCGTGAGAAAGGAGTCGTCACCCCCTTCGCCTCCATTCTCCTCCTCTTCAGCATTGTCCATCTCCACCACTGCCTCTCCACCCTCCTCAGCCGTTACAGTGCTCACAGTGTCCTTATCATTGTCATTATCATCTTTCACACTCTCACTTTTTCTTTCAACATCATCAACCTCCTCCTCAGAATGAAACTCTGTCTGACAGGCAGACATGGTAACACTTTTGGGCTTTGTTGAGCTGCCCTCCTTCTCAGCCTCCTCTACCCCATCACCCACAACTTCTTCCTTGGCACCCTCCCCTTCTCCATCCACATCCTTTGAAGGATCCTCACCATCTCCTGCACCACACACAATATCCTCTTCAACACCCTTTTGTTTCTCTGTATCAATGCCTTTTTCTTCATGTCCATTTTTGTTCTGTACCGCATCTGCCTCCTCGGATCCTACAGTTTTGTTCCTTTCTTCTCCTTGGTGGTCTTCATGGCCACCATTACAACCTTCACCGGAATGTCCTACTGATGGTCCTTTGGATTCTTGACCATCATCCAAATCATCTTTATCACCACCTTCATCACCTTCTTCCACATCCATACCTTCCTCATCAAGTGCAGTTTCCACACCTTCATCTGATATGGTTTCAATGCCTTCCATGTCTGGTGCGGTTTCCATACATTCTTTATCTGGGGCGCTTTCCATACTTTCTTCATCTAATGTGGTTTTAACACTTTCATTGTCTGATGCAGTTTCTACAACGTCCTGAACAAGAGTAGCATCCTTGGCATCTACCCTCTTTTCCTCATCTGGTGCAGTTTCCACACCTTCCTCTGGTTCTGCTTCTGCATCTGCTTCTGCTTCTGCATCTGCTTCTGCATCTGCTTCTGCTTCTGCATCTGCTACTGCATCTGGTTCTGTTTCTGCATTTAGTTTTGCATCTGCTTCTGCTTCTGCTTCTGCATCTGGTTCTGCATCTGCTTCTGCTTCTGCTTCTGCTTTTGCATCTGCATCTACTTCTGCATCTGCCTTCATATCTTCCTGATCCTCCTCCTCCTCATTCCTGTGTGGGGACAGTGTCAGTATCATGTCCTCCTCATCCTTGCCTGGCTCTTTAGTTGCTCCTGCACCCTTAGCTTCTTCAGCTTCTACTGATACGGGAGGACTGGGAGGTTTCTCAGAGAAATAGTCATGATCTGAGGGCCCAGTTTCAATGTGGTCGGTGTGTGCTGGTGCTTGGGTAAAGTAGTCATGGTCACCCTTCGAGGACTGGGATGTATCCACTGCTTCCATGACGACACCAGTCTCCATCTCAATGCCAACTGTCTACATCAGCAGTTAAATATTGGCAAGAAGTACCACTCATAAAACTGCATCCTCAACAGTCATCCTCACTGAAAATACAAAAATGAGCTGATGAAACGGACTGTTTCTGTTTTTCTTAACACAATGCTGAATGTTTGCTTGTTTAACGCTGCACTCGGCATTTGCTCAGCAATATTCAAGACAGTGATCTGAAAGTCCAGTGATTGACATCATTATCATCAATATACGATGACATGCTCAATCAATTTAGAATGCCTGACCAGACAATCCCTTTTGCCGCCTTTTATGATAAGCATAGGTTGCTGAAGACCAATTATAACATGGATCTTCATGGGGCAATGCATTTATGAAGATTCCAGGGTAGAATAGGTCTTCAGCAACCCATGCTTACCGTAAAAGGTGACTATGCTTGTCGTAAAAGGCGACTAACGGGATTGGGTGGTCAGTCTCGCTGACTTGGTTGATGCATGTCATCGATCCCAATTGCATGGATCAATGCGTGGATGATATTAATCACTGGATTGTCTGGTCCAGACTCAATTATTTACAGACCGCCATCATATAGCTGGAATATTGCTGAGTGAGGCATTAAACAACAAACCAAACCAAGCATTTATGATAAAACAATGCATTTAGGATCAAGTGAGTGTTTTGTATTTCACATCAAAGTCATACTGTATTTAACCGTAACCTCATGATCAACATTAACCATGAATATTCTGGTCATCACGATCATTCTCACTGATTTGGAGGGTTAAATCGCATTTCTGATGGCACCTGAATGTATTTTTTTCTTTTTTCTTATTATTGTTGTGCTTCATTAGATTTTTAACTTAAAATTCATTAACAAGTTTCTGTTGTGGAAAGTCTAAGATCAGATTAACTCATGTCAGAAATCGTATAATGTTCCTGCACAAATCATCATGGATCAATCAATCTTTAAGGTCTACCAAAGAGACACTGAGGAAATCAGAGCTCCAGATAAGCTATTATTTGTGTAAAATATGCACAATTATTAACGAAACCCAACTAATTTTCAGTAGCTAGCCCTCCACAAAGAAAAAATTCAATAATGTAACGAGACTGAGCTAATTATTTAATGTAGCCTTTTCAGCTAGCTTACACATCTTTTCAGATTTTAATTCACTGACCATAAGCAGGCATCTCATACATTTGATCTCTACTGTAGTGATTAATGCAAACAAGTGTCATCAGGAGATGACATATCCCGACCTGGTGCAATTCTGCTGCAATTCTTGTGCAAGCTGTCTGTGATGGACGTTGTACTTGTGATCTGTTCAGCATTGTTTATATATACAAAAGTACAGAAGTACAAATGTCCATCACAGACAAGTGAACCATGGGCATCAGCCACACTGTATATCTTACTGATGGGGAAGGGAGTGAACTGACTTTAACTGTCCAGTTTCCACCCTTGCTGAACTAGGCTGAAATTCTGTGACTCAATCATAGTGCCACCAGTGGCTATTTTGAGTAATGCCCCTTCTATGTCCGCTATATTGACGAATCAAATTCCACCTGTCATATTACTTGCATTTGTTTCAAACAAAATGGTATCCCAGTCAAGACAATCTGATCGATAATCAGGATCTATATTGTTATAAAACAGGTGTTACCCCGCGAAGTGCATCAAATAACTTGAGCACGTTGATTAAAAACATGAAAAGATTAGAAAAATATCTTCGACTCCCACTTGAGGGTACACATGCTTTGCAAATCTTGAAATCGACCTAATCTGCACAGCTGTTTATGGACAGGATGTTTTTTCGTCACACGATTTTGATTGGACTATGCGTAGACTCGTTAGTATTGATTTTAAGGCCTTATGAAACATGTAAAATCAGTTTGCGATGTCTGATAATTTATTACACTGATATCGTTCCTTGCATGAACTCAAATTTCTGGAATGATTTGTTGATATTCCAAGTCAAAGTCTAGGTTCTTACAGACTGAACAGCGAAACTTCAACTTGTGCCAGCAGCAATTTGCGGAGAATCTATTCTCAGCACAAACAGTTAACATCATTGTTAAAATTGAAACACGCATATTTGTTACATTTACAATGAAAGATCTGTATGTTTCTATCGATGAAACAATGGCATGCCAAACAAATTTTACCCAAAAGAATATTTGTGGGAAAATGTCTAACCCGCGTCGTAGTCGGTTGTCACTTGCAGAAAACGTGTATCGACATTCTGCGAAAATAGAATTCATTGCACAAAGCACACATAAATATAAAACAAATTCAACATTTCATCAACATACATGTGGACATGTGATGACCTTGCACAGGAAGTGTTTATAAATAAACCTCATTACTATGCAAGTTTAACAGAGACCCCTAGTGGCCATCTCAAATTACAAAATGAAATGTTGCATGGCAAAAGAAAAGAAACAAAGAAAAGTCTGTAGATGTATATATGTCTAAAACACTGATATAATCAATGTGTGGAAATTCAACCAAAACACTTTCTGACTACGTTTAGTATAATATTAATATCAGATAAATCGAGGTTGACAATATTCTGAAAAGTTTTATTGATCGAAGGTGTCAATTGGTAGTTATCTGCCCTTGGAAACATTTCCGCAAACTAGAAATTTTATTTTCACGAGACTCCTGGTATACTGATTTAAAATTCTTTCCGCTTAGGCAATAAAGCCAAACTAAGTACATAGATCGACAGATATATCTACTTTCAAAAGAGGAAGACAAGCACGGGAGAATTCCACATGCGATATCTCTATTCCAGTGCGACGCAGCGGTCTCCCAGTCCCTAATTAGCGTGTGCAATGTAAATAAAATCGATTGTCACAAAATTAATTAATGTACATGGTCAGTATCAGAATATAATAAATTTGTGCCTGGAGAGTTGTTACGAATAATGCGAATACATTAAGTCGTCTACGGCCACACTATTACGATGAAACATACTAACCTGAAAACTTCCCCGCCATTACGGACAGGATATTGTCTAAATTCCGGAATAGCGGAACAAGAGTTTTATGGAATCTACGTGTACCCATGAAAGTGTGCCTCAAGGTTCCACGTCACCTTGAATCGTAGAGATCATACAACGCATGTGTATTTAAAAGACCCTGTAGACTTAAACATTCCACGAATGATACTCAATGTTCAAATTAGCAAACATATGTGATCCTAACTATTATAGTATCTTTATTAATTAAAACATCTCTCGCGAGATGAGTCCCATTTTAGTATTCTTGCTAATCTCATCTACAACTGAATGAGAAACAATACATTGTTAAGGTTAATCTACTTATTAGCAAATCCAACTTTTGTCCTGCATCGTCCCATACTCGAATGGATTAATGATTGTTGATATGTTTACACGGTGAAGTATTTGTTCAGGCATTAGTTTCTTCGTTCATAGACAGGCCTGAATAGTGACAGTTTTCCCCGGGCTGGATTACAACTAGACAAACGCTTAGTCTCCGAGAATATAGTATTGTGATTGAAACAAAGAACTCCATTTATACATAAGGTGTACACGGACAGATGTTTTAGTGATTTCATTTGTGTTATACTCGATAAAAAAACAACCCAATATTATGGCATTAATATATAACTCTGTCATGTACGGAAATAAAGGTAAACCACCAACATGGTTATCGACTAAATAGATTCATCTGATTAGATCGTGGCTATACTCTGTCTGTAAATACACGTGACGCAACGCACGTACGGCCAAGACCAATTTGTGTGCTGAGGACTGCAGTGGTTATACGTTGTTTCGCGCTCGACAAGTGAGTGCGTGAGTGAGTTGGGTTTAACTGCCACTTATATCACGGTGATTACAACTTGCTGTGGAAGGAAAGCCCGAAATGATGCAGGTTACACATTCGTTTCTCTCTAGAAAAGCTACTACTAAAACAAAACCTATTGATGCCACGACCAGAGGCTCTAACATTGAATATACATGTTTCGTTGCCACCCCATCATACTATTCCGAACCAGAACTTTAGAATTTGTTTGTGTAGGTGAACTTTGATATGAAAGAGAAATGATAAGAAAAAACATGGCCTCATAGCAAAGAAATTATATCCCAAAGCACCTTGAAGTTTAGTTATCATTGAACACATCTTTAGACAACATAACAAACTTTATCATCAATTATCACCAGGAAAAATAATCCTTTAAATGTTAATAAAGATGTATATAAACGTTTTTTGCTGATTTCCGTATGACACAGAGCAGACACACACCCCAGTACATCTGTAACACCTGTGATCAGCTTGATCCTGACGACCGGCAACACATTACTGAAGCAATACGACGTCACTGACACCGTGTATAATCTGCCATCAGTAATCTCTCACTGGGGCGGTCGGGTAGCCTAGTGGTTAAAACGTTTGCTCGTCACGCCGAAGACCCGGGTTCGAATCCCGACATGGGCACAATGTGTGAAGCCCATTTCTGGTGTCCCACGCCGTGATATTGCTGGAATATTGCTAAAAGCGGCATAAAACCAAACTCACTCACTCACTTAATCTCTCACTGGCACAAGACTTAGTGGTAAAATACAATGCAACAAACTAATAAAAACGATCATACGTTTGGGTAATTTCATGTGTGGTAGAATAAAAAAAGGGTGTTTTATTTTATTTAATTAAGTCTCCAACGCGTCTGACATAAAGTGTAAGTCTGAGTGGTGGATACGAATTTATTTAATATCCTACATATTTGGGGAAATAGAGAGTATAATACATTGCACGTAAAACATAGTGCCTTGTTTGCGTTCTGAGGTACATGGTACACGCCTGCTGGATCACGCAACACATATATGTGTATACGTTACTCAATCAAGTGCGGATCCAGCATTTTTAAAAGCGAGGGGTCCAAGATATCAAAATCTTACCTCAAACAGCTAAATAAAATTGGACAAATGTAACTGTCCACGAGTGATGCAAAGAAATCCTTTTAATTCAGTATCGTTGTGGTTAAATGATTTTTGTTTTGTTTTTGTGAACGGATCAGCCAATGTTAGTTTGAGTTCACCTCAAAAACCATGTCCACAATTGAAATCCGTTTTCGGACTTGATGTTCACTTTTGTATCTGAAAAATTGCTAATATTATATATTCTTTCCCCCACTTTACAATTTGGGTTCGACCACATTCACGATTTCTCATACAGTATTGCAAATCAAACACGTACTTAACAGTAACAGTTTGGTGATAGTTAAAATAAATAAAATAAATGGTCACATGACACAATATGGCTGCCACCATGAAAACGTGTTGTTGTTTATAAACAAGTAACGATGCATTACATTTCCACTGAACATTATTCCTGATCTTGTACTGCACTATATTTTGCGAGTCTTTATAAGCTTTATTGGAATGGCTAATCGTAAATGATGACATCTCTGACATGTTTGAGAGACAGCTTATTTCTCAATGACAAATCGACACCAGCTTGTTTTGACGTTTTGACCCTCTCCCGGCACTCGAGTAGTTTTTACTAAGACGGTGACATCACACTGACATGCATCGTTGTATTTATTGTTCCCGTTTCTTACGGCTTACGAGAACGATAGAATGCGTTGCTTCTACTATTCCGAGATATTTTGGTGCAAGAAACTTTACAAATGATTCTACACATGAACCAGCCAACCCAACACAACGCGTGGAGCCGGTGTCCTTGCAGCAATCGTTGTTAAATGCAGAAGATGTGCCAAGCAAGGAAGATGTCTTGTCCAGTCATGAGGTGTTGGCGGGAAAGACTGTTACTCGTTCAAGCCACTACATCATTGACAGAGATATAGCAAGTAATTATACTGATGAGAAATGAAAATGGCTCCAGTATAGATGTGAAAATATCACCCCAATCCAACTTAAATAAAACTGAATAACAGAGTCACCCTATAAACATATTGATAAATATCTAAACAGTTAGCAAATATGGATTTCAAGATTTAATGTTGGAAAACATGCTCTGATGAAACTCAATTGGAGTATACGTTTCTGTACTCTAAACAAAGTATATGTGAATTGAGCTTGATCGGGAAACTGACATGACATTTGTCATATTTGCAATTTTTTCTTAGAGATTGGGGAATGTGTTGTTTCCTTTGGAACTTTTAATATGGAAATCTTTGCCCAAACATTTCTTTGCTTTAGCATGTGCAAGGCTAACAACAACTATGATAACATTTCAGCAATGACATAATTATATTGAAGTAAGTATTAAAATTTACTTCTACGAACACCAATGGAAAGTGTCTCTATATTGTGTAAAATTCAATGATGACCATTAAAAGAATGCCTGCATGATCGCACGGAAACTTAAAACAGCTGTTCAATGAATTTTGGAGGTAGCTTTGTAAATAATGTGTAATGTATGTTTCTGTAATAGATGTTCTTTTTGTGCATATCAATAAATCTTGCAAAATAACAGATGATTAAAACATTGGTCACCGTCTTTTAGTTCTGTTTAAAATGAACTTCTGGGTAACCTGAAATGGGAAACTAATGTCAATAGTTAGTGAAGTTACTGAAGTATTCCTTATTTCAGTTTTTATTCCCCTAAAGATCCGGGGTTAGAATTGGTCTTCAGCAACCCATGCTTATCATAAGAGACGACTAATGGTATTGGGTGGTCAGGCTTGCTGACTTTGTTATGCATGTCATTGTGTCCCAATTTTGTAGGTGGATACTGATTATGTCAATCACTGGATTGTCTGGTCCAGACTCGATTATTTACAGACCACCACCATATAGCTGGAATATTGCTGAGTGTGGCGTGAAACAACAAACAATTCATTTACATTTTCATTTTTTGTGACAAACAAATAAATGAAGGCCACAAATTTGGGCAGTGTATCAATGTGGCATGCAATGGAACACAAGAACAACCTTGTGAGTCAGATAGATTTCCTTATGTTTTATGTTCTGTTGATAATCTTTTGAATATTAAAGCATTTTAATGTCAAACATCAGAGTTTTTATGAGAGACAGTACCACATTAATGTTTGAGATTGATCCCTCTTGACAATTTTGTTATTGAGTATCAAGTCTGGACCAGACAATCCAGTGATTAATATCATGAGCATCGATCTACGCAATTGGGATACGATGACATGCATCAACCAAGTCAGCGAGCCTGACCACCCGATCCCGTTAGTCGCCTGTTACGACAAGCATAGTCACCTGTTACGGCAAGCATGGGTCCAAAAACCTATTCTAACCCAGGTCTTCACGGGTCATTCAGAATGTGTATCGGCACTGTGTCAAAGTGAATTCCCGCCGTCCTGATGGACAGTAGTCTAGTTGCTCGTCATGCTCAGTTGTGTCAGCCAGAATATAGACTCACACAGCTGATGAACCCTTGTGGGCAGAGTCAGACGGTTTGGTAGAAGCCAGAGCATAGTGTTCCTTTAAGTATCTCCATACAATATGTATTGTGACTTACGTATCATGATGTATTGTTATGTGAGGTAGTTGTATCATCATGATGCCCCTAATTATTACAAACATTAAAAATTATCAACTTAAACATGAAAAAATATTAGTGGCCAATTTCTACCAAGATTTGAAATAATGACTTGAGTTATGTTTTCAGGGGCCATTGCTACAGCAGTTAACCAAAACAAGCCATCTGAGAGTTGTGTCCTTGTGGAGGCAAACCCTGGTGAGTGAGCTTGACTTCTCCCTTACCGTCCATCAGCATGGTCCTGTGCACAGAGCACTTATCATGGGGAGACAGCACTCCCCAGTCTACCATTGTGACACATCTTCTGCCCTGTGAGAGAGCTTACTGTCAACTCAAGAGAGCCATGGCTACAGCTGGTAGGCCAGGTCTCCTCTCATCATGTTGGTGTAGATACTTGATAGGAAAATGATCGGCGTCTCATTTCATATTCCAGTTTATTGTTGGCAGATCCATCACCCAAGCAGAGCTACAGATAAGCAGCGTATTTGCGTAAAATACCCCCCCAAAATATTCAAAACCCAATTACTTTCAATTAACTTGCGTACAGAAATGCATGCATTAAATGAAAAACTCAAATGTATAACAACAGCTCGTGTAAATACCCAATGAAGCTTTTTCAGCCTGCGTTCAAAGAAGCTAGTTTCCAAAACACAATTACGGGCTAATTTACTTTCCGAGTCATGCCCATATATTTAGAACAGTTATATACATCTAAAACATTATTTCATTTTTTACAAATCTTATCATGGGGAGACAGCACTCCCCAGTCTACCATTGTGACACATCTTCTGCCCTGTGAGAGAGCTTACTGTCAACTCAAGAGAGCCATGGCTACAGCTGGTAGGCCAGGTCTCCTCTCATCATGGTGGTGTAGATACTTGATAGGAAAATGATCGGCGTCTCATTTCATATTCCAGTTTATTGTTGGCAGATCCATCACCCAAGCAGAGCTACAGATAAGCAGCGTATTTGCGTAAAATACCCCCCCAAAATATTCAAAACCCAATTACTTTCAATTAACTTGCGTACAGAAATGCATGCATTAAATGAAAAACTCAAATGTATAACAACAGCTCGTGTAAATACCCAATGAAGCTTTTTCAGCCTGCGTTCAAAGAAGCTAGTTTCCAAAACACAATTACGGGCTAATTTACTTTCCGAGTCATGCCCATATATTTAGAACAGTTATATACATCTAAAACATTATTTCATTTTTTACAAATCTTAAAATGGTCACTAATTTTGGGAAATAGCCAATAGAGTGATGAATGGATGAGTGAAAACATACTGGTTACCCAATGGAAAATGTAATAACCCAATTAAAACAGAAACCCTAGAGTAAAAACTCAATTGCTCAAAAAGTTATCTGGAGCTCTGCCCAAGTAACCAGCTGTTAATAAGAAATAAAATGCCTGACATTTTTAAATCCGTATGCTTCACTTACCAGTACATTCCTTAAAACAACACTGGCTGTTAGTTTCTGTCACCTTACATGATTGTGCGCTCAGGCTGTACAAGGGCGGCATCATCCCGAGGCAAGGAGTTAACTGACTGTAAAAGTCCAGTTTCCACCCTTGCTGAACTAGGCTGGAATTTATGGGCTTGATCGACACTACCAGTGGCTATTATGATTTATGTCCCTTCTATGTCCCCTCTATTGACCAGTCAGATTCCACCTCTCATATCATTTGCGTTTGCTTCAAACAAAATGGCATCGCCCAGTCAAGAAGATGTGGTTGACAATCGATATCTATATTGTGATAAAACGGGTCTTATTTCATGGAATTCATCAAATCACATGAGCACCTTGATTAAAAACATGAAAAGATTTGCAAAATATCTGTTGACACCAAGTTGGCAGTACACATGCTTTGCAAATCCTGCCATCGCCTGAAATCTGCACAGTAGTTTATGAACCGGATGTCAATTTGTTGCACGATTTTCATTGGACTCTGCATAGACTTGTTAGTCTAGCCAAAATATAACTACTAAATTCCAGCCTAGTTCTGCAAGGGTGTAATCTGGACTTCTATAGAAAGTTATCTCCCTTGCTTCAGGAATATGAAGGATGGAGGCCTTGAAGGGCTTGTCTTACTATGGTTCTTGTACTTTCAGGGCCTGGAATATTGACAAGGGCTTTCTTTGATGCAGGGTTTCAGCATGTTGTTGCTGTAGAGAGTAAGCCAGAATTCCAGCAATACATGCAGGTACATCATGCACTTTCAAACATCAGTGTCACTACTTGGTAACGGACAACATCAACATAATACTTTAGGGCATACTTAATCACAAATGCTTGACCAAAATTAAATTTGGAAAACGAAAATAGTGTAGAACAGACAATAAAAAATAATTCTCAGTACAAGCAGTGTATGTGATAAATACTAATACATTATTATAATCGCCATTACAAATGCGTATGCACAAAATACAACATACAGCTTGCCTCTCGGCTGTTACCTATCCCGAATGATTACATTACATAATGTTTATATCTATAGGTACCTTTACAAATTCAAGTGGCTTAAAGTGATATGCTTTGTAAAACAGCATTCATAAATATGAAACAAATTCATCCTCAGTAAATACGTTCTATATCTATCCAATTCTTCCTTTGGATAAAACTGAAATATAGAAGCTCCTACTTTCCAAGTTCCTGTTCTCTGTTATACATGTTTAATACAGTATTGATACAAAAATAATGTTAGATGACTGTAGATATTTCTCTCTGTAACTGTTCTACTTTGGACAAGCAAACAGAAAATGTTTTTCACCTTCCACAACAGCGATATCTACTGTAGAATGACTAACGACAAAGTCACTCTTCTCTGGGAATACTTTCCCACCTGCCACCTGGAACTCATGAACAGAGATTATTTCCTTAGGAATCATCTCACAGCCTGTTCAGTATGGTTGCCATGGAAAACAAACAACTTTGCATGAAGATCATAGGTGAAACTACTAATATGTTTCATAAGGTTTTTTTCCGTTCAAACCTTTTGCTTTTGTTACCATGGCAACAATATTGATAAAGCTCTTTGGGGCCTCTGACCATCTATGAAAATAGGTTTATGAATATAGCTGGTAGCTAGTCTGTCAGTTTCTTATTCTATACACATTCAGATACTATGATTTTGACTTTATCATGTTTAATCTTCAATTTAGCATGGTTTAGCCAAATGTATTATTATATCCATGGTAAAATGCATCTCAGTTACATACGGTAAGTATTACATTGAATTTATCAAACCATTTCTTTGCACAAGTGTTTTGACATCACATGACTTGAAAAAGATAATTTGAAAAAATCACAACTACACCTTTTTAGTCATCTGTCCCTTTTGTTCCATGTCTAAATTGTTTCCTCACACTGATCAAATCTACATCTTTTAGCAATTGGATACATGTGTATGTGGAGACAATTCTCGTGACCATGTTTACAGTTCCTTTAGGAGTGACCCATATAGATCCGGGTTAGAATAGGTCTTCAGCAACCCATGTTTGTCGTACAAGGCGACTAACGGGATCAGGTGGTAAGGCTCGCTGACTTGGTTCATGTGTGTCATCGTATCCCTGTTGTGGGGATCAATGTTCATGATATCAATCACTGGATTGTCTGACTTGATTACATACAGACCACAGTCATATAGCTGGAATATTGCTGAGTGTGGCGTTAAACAACAAACAAACAAACAAAATCCTGCATGAGGGTTGGGTCAGCCTGCCAGCAATACAACTTTGTGTGAATGTGTAGATCTACTTAAGTTACTTCAGAAATGACATCACTAACTTTTCAGCAATGAAAGTACACTGCGTTGAAACTGATGTTGAAAGAATTAAAACCAGGTAGTCTTCATATGATTTTTTTTTCACCGTTGGGACTGACAAAAATTGGGTGGAAATGGTAATTTTATAGTTGCCAGTCCAATGGGACTGGCAGTTTCAAAAGCCAGTGGGAACACTGTGTAGTCCTAAGTTTTGTGTACAGGACATTGAGAGGACGGTGGGATCAGACCGACTCAAATATTTTGACTTCGACCCTTTCATCTTGTGGCGGCGGGACATGCTCGCAAACAAGCACGACGCCACGTACAAGGAAGTGGAGAACAACATTGCACAGTACATGACCTCCAGTGTACCGACAGGTCAGACATGGTCAGACATGGCAGATGGGTTGCCGCAGCTGATTTACTTTGTGTAGAGCGTTGTCACTCCCACAATGAAACTGGAGAATTGATAACTTGTGTGAATCCATGAGTGAGTGAGTAAAGTTTTACACTGCCTTTTAGCAATATTCCAGCAATATCATGGTGGGGGACACCACAAAGAGGCTTCACACTTTGTGCCATGAAGCCAGGAACACTTGAGTCTTCAAATGTCCAGGTTGCACATCCTGAAACCTGCCTTCAGGGGGATTTCCGTTGAACATGTTGAAACATTTGAAACATTTTTTATAAAACATTCCTGAGTTATTAAAAACTGTTGCTTCTTGCTACAGACAGTCCTACTTAATTATCCCAAAAGCTAAAGGAAGAGCACTGACAAGGACCCTTTTATGGCCTTTGAACATGAGGAATTTCAATGTTGGGGAAACCTTTCAAAAACTGTGCAAAAATATTCTCAAGTGTTCCAATGGATGACAACTGCCTTTGATAAACTTTAACAACCCAGGTTAGAGTTTCTGGTTCCAAGTGGTGTGTGGTCAGCTTGGCGATGGCTGATTGCGTGTCACCGTGCATGATGGTGTGGATAGCTGCCCATGATTTTAGTCACTGGTTTCCCAGGTCTAGACTCCATTATTTACAGGCTGCCATCATAAAGCTGTAACATTGCTGTTGTACAACATTGACTGACTCATCATTCTCGTCAATGTCAGGGCTCGATTTAGCTATATTTTACATGTACTAGTGCAGTGCCAACTCAAGTTGCCCACTGAATCACTTTATGATGTTTAGATTATCCCAATAATGATAACCATTATGCATTATGATGGTTGCCATTGATGCCATGGCCACAGAAGTACTGTAGCCCTGTACTAACTGTGTTAAAAATCATGACACAGTTATCAGACATGATCAGAGATATGAGATTTTATTTATTTAGACTAGTTTATGCATCTACGATTTGATCAGACCTGGTTTTGTCTGGTGTAACGAGGTTGTCAGGTTGCACCTGGTGCAAGGTAAATCAAGCCCTTTAAATAAAGCAGGATTCAACTGTCTGTCATTGTCATGCATTATTGAGTGAAATGTTTATTTAGCACTACTGTAAATATGACCTGGGTTGACTGGATGTGTTCTGGTGTTCTACAGATGTTCCTGTCAGTGTGTTTGGTGTTCTGAGTAAAAACAAGGAGTATCCCTTCCTCTCCTACCTGTCCAAGACCTTTGCCCTGGGGGAAGGGCTGTTTTCTGTGAGGCCAAAGAACTGGTTCTTGTTTGTGTCTGCTAAAATTTATCTGGTGAGTCCCGCCACAGCTGCGTAAGGCATTTTACCTCAACTAACTTGTTTCACTGATCTGTCGACCCAAAATATCACAGACGTGGAATGAAATTAAACTTGGTCACTCGTACCCAGATTTGTTGCAAGAACCAATTAGAGAAGATGGGATGTTTACACCAGCCTGATAGTGTGTGATTGTGCCCCATGATGTGTGACCTGCCTGACAGTGTGTGATTGTGCCCCATGATGTGTGACCTGCCTGACGGTGTGTGATTGTGCCCCATGATGTGTGACCTGCCTGACAGTGTGTGATTGTGCCCCATGATGTGTGACCTGCCTGACAGTGTGTGATTGTGCCCCATGATGTGTGACCTGCCTGACAGTGTGTGATTGTGTGCCCCATGATGTGTGACCTGCCTGACAGTGTGTGATTGTGTGCCCCATGATGTGTGACCTGCCTGACAGTGTGTGATTGTGCCCCATGATGTGTGACCTGCCTGACAGTGTGTGATTGTGTGCCCCATGATGTGTGACCTGCCTGACAGTGTGTGATTGTGCCCCATGATGTGTGACCTGCCTGACAGTGTGTGATTGTGTGCCCCATGATGTGTGACCTGCCTGACAGTGTGTGATTGTGCCCCATGATGTGTGACCTGCCTGACAGTGTGACTGTGTGCCCCATGATGTGTGACCTGCCTGACAGTGTGTGATTGTGCCCCATGATGTGTGACCTGCCTGACAGTGTGTGATTGTGTGCCCCATGATGTGTGACCTGCCTGACAGTGTGTGATTGTGCCCCATGATGTGTGACCTGCCTGACAGTGTGTGATTGTGCCCCATGATGTGTGACCTGCCTGACAGTGTGTGATTGTGTGCCCCATGATGTGTGACCTGCCTGACAGTGTGTGATTGTGCCCCATGATGTGTGACCTGCCTGACAGTGTGTGATTGTGTGCCCCATGATGTGTGACCTGCCTGACAGTGTGTGATTGTGCCCCATGATGTGTGACCTGCCTGACAGTGTGACTGTGTGCCCCATGATGTGTGACCTGCCTGACAGTGTGTGATTGTGCCCCATGATGTGTGACCTGCCTGACAGTGTGTGATTGTGTGCCCCATGATGTGTGACCTGCCTGACGGTGTGTGATTGTGTGCCCCATGATGTGTGACCTGCCTGACCGTGTGTGATTGTGCCCCATGATGTGTGACCTGCCTGACAGTGTGTGATTGTGTGCCCCATGATGTGTGACCTGCCTGACGGTGTGTGATTGTGCCCCATGATGTGTGACCTGCCTGACAGTGTGTGATTGTGCTCCAACCATGTGTGTGACCTGTGTGTGATTGTGCTCCAACCATGTGTGTGTGACCTGTGTGTGATTGTGCTCCAACCATGTGTGTGACCTGTGTGTGATTGTGCTCCAACCATGTGTGTGTGACCTGTGTGTGATTGTGCTCCAACCATGTGTGATTGTGCCCCAACCATGTGTGTGTGACCTGTGTGTGATTGTGCCCCAACCATGTGTGTGTGACCTGTGTGTGATTGTGCCCAAACCATGTGTGTGTGACCTGTGTGTGATTGTGCCCCAACCATGTGTGTGACCTGTGTGTTATTGTGCTCCAACCATGTGTGTGTGACCTGTGTGTGATTGTGCTCCAACCATGTGTGTGTGACCTGTGTGTGATTGTGCTCCAACCATGTGTGTGTGACTTGTGTGTGATTGTGCTCCAACCATGTGTGTGTGACTTGTGTGTGATTGTGCTCCAACCATGTGTGTGTGACCTGTGTGGGATTGTGCTCCAACCATGTGTGACCTGTGTGTGATTGTGCTCCAACCATGTGTGTGTGACCTGTGTGTGATTGTGCTCCAACCATGTGTGTGTGACCTGTGTGGGATTGTGCCCAAACCATGTGTGTGTGACCTGTGTGGGATTGTGCCCCAACCATGTGTGTGTGACCTGTGTGGGATTGTGCCCCAACCATGTGTGTGTGACCTGTGTGTGATTGTGCTCCAACCATGTGTGTGTTACCTGTGTGTGATTGTGCTCCAACCATGTGTGTGTGACCTGTGTGGGATTGTGCCCAAACCATGTGTGTGTGACCTGTGTGTGATTGTGCCCCAACCATGTGTGTGTGACCTGTGTGTGATTGTGCTCCAACCATGTGCATTGTCGCTCATGCACTTTACCTCTGTGTTGCCAAGATTTGATAATCTTGAATATGGCTGACTTTTCTTTAACATGGCATTGACTCACTTATAGAGAAACTTATTTGATGTTGTTACTCAAAGCCACCTGGTGTTCTCTCTGACTGTCAACTAGTCTGTTTCCCCAGCAACTGAAGATTTGTCGTGGTGACGTTTGGTCGTCCGTCTTCTACAACAAAGTTGCTGTCGTCATCTACAGTTTCTTTGACTTCAAATTGCTGATGGAGGTAAGATGAAGCCAGCTTCATTTGGAATGTTACCTATGAATATGATTGTGAGTAAATCCCTTCAGATAATTGCTCATTGGTTGCAATGGAAATTGAAGTGAGATTGTTCATACCTGTAATATTGACAATTTCATTTAATGTTTCTAGCTTGAACACAACAAATTTGCACCTCCATTTAGGAAGAAAAAGAAGAAAGTGGTAAGTTACACATCATGTGTTTTTTTTTAATACGATTATAGTTTTATTTAATATTTATCTACTAAAATTATGAAAGAATCGTAATAAAGCTATGATGGTTTAACCAATGGTAAGGCAGAAATGTGAAGTGTAGTGTCACGGTGTCTGTTGAGGACCGTGTGTAGTATAGCCTCACAGTGTCTGTTGAGGACTGAGTGTAGTGTAGTCTTATAGTGTCTGTTGAGGACCGTGTATAGTATAGCCTCACAGTGTCTGTTGAAGACTGTGTGTAGTGTAGTCTTATAGTGTCTGTTGAGGACCGTGTGTAGTGTAGTCTTATAGTGTCTGTTGAGGACTGAGTGACGTGTAGCCTTATAGTGTCTGTTGAGGACTGAGTGTAGTATAGCCTCACAGTGTCTGTTGAGTACTGAGTGTAGTGTAGTCATAGTGTCTGTTGGGGACTGAGTGTAGTATAGCATCACAGTGTCTGTTGAGTACTGAGTGTAGTATAGCCTCACAGTGTCTGTTGGGGACTGAGTGTAGTGTAGTCTTATAGTGTCTGTTGGGGACTGAGTGTAGTGTAGTCTTATAGTGTCTGTTGAGGACTGAGTGTAGTGTAGTCTTATAGTGTCTGTTGAGGACTGAGTGTAGTATAGCCTCCCAGTGTCTGTTGAGGACTGAGTGTAGTGTAGTCTTATAGTGTCTGTTGGGGACTGAGTGTAGTGTAGTCTTATAGTGTCTCCTGAGGACTGTGTGAAGTATAGCCTCATGTCGTCTGTTGAGGACTGAGTGACGTGTAGCCTTATAGTGTCTGTTGAGGACTGAGTGTAGTATAGCCTCACAGTGTCTGTTGAGTACTGAGTGTAGTGTAGTCATAGTGTCTGTTGGGGACTGAGTGTAGTATAGCATCACAGTGTCTGTTGAGTACTGAGTGTAGTATAGCCTCACAGTGTCTGTTGGGGACTGAGTGTAGTGTAGCCTTATAGTGTCTGTTGAGGACTGAGTGTTAGTATAGTCTTATAGTGTCTGTTGGGGACTGAGTGTAGTGTAGTCTTATAGTGTCTGTTGGGGACTGAGTGTAGTGTAGTCTTATAGTGTCTGTTGGGGACTGACTGTCGTGTAGTCTTATAGTGTCTGTTGAGGACCGTGTGTAGTATAGCCTCACAGTGTCTGTTGAAGACTGTGTGTAGTGTAGTGTTATAGTATCTGTTGGGGACTGAGTGTAGTGTAGTCTTATAGTGTCTGTTGAGGACTTTGTGTAGTGTAGTCTTATAGTGTCTGTTGGGGACTGAGTGTAGTGAAGTCTTATAGTGTCTGTTGAGGACTGTGTGTAGTGTAGTGTTATAGTGTCTGTTGGGGACTGAGTGAAGTGTAGTCTTATAGTGTCTGTTGGGGACTGAGTGTAGTGTAGTCTTATAGTGTCTTTTGAGGACTGAGTGTAGTATAGCCTTACAGTGTCTGTTGAGGACTGAGTGTAGTGCAGTCTTATAGTGTCTGTTGAGGACTTTGTGTAGTGTAGTCTTATAGTGTCTGTTTGGGACTAAGTGTAGTGTAGTCTTATAGTGTCTGTTGAGGACTGAGTGTAGTATAGCCTCCCAGTGTCTGTTGAGGACTGAGTGTAGTGTAGTCTTATAGTGTCTGTTGAGGACCGTGTGTAGTGTAGTCTTATAGTGTCTGTTGAGGACTGAGTGTAGTGTAGTCTTATAGTGTCTGTTGAGGACCGTGTGTAGTGTAGTCTTATAGTGTCTGTTGGGGACTGAGTGTAGTGAAGTCTTATAGTGTCTGTTGAGAACTGAGTGTAGTATAGCCTCACAGTGTCTGTTGAGTACTGAGTGTAGTGCAGTCTTATAGTGTTTGTTGAGGACCGTGTGTAGTGTAGTCTTATAGTGTCTGTTGGGGACTGAGTGTAGTGTAGTCTTATAGTGTCTGTTGGGGACTGAGTGTAGTATAGCCTCACAGTGTCTGTTGAGTACTGAGTGTAGTGTAGTCTTATAGTGTCAGTTGAGGACTGAGTGAAGTGTAGCCTAATAGTGTCTGTTGAGGACTGAGTGTTGTGTAGTCTTAAAGTGTCTGTTTAGGACCGTGTGTAGTATAGCCTCACAGTGTCTGTTGAGGACTGAGTGTAGTGTAGTCTTATAGTGTCTGTTGAGGACTGTGTGTAGTGTAGTCTTATAGTGTCTATTGGGGACTGAGTGTAGTGTAGTCTTATAGTGTCTGTTGGGGACTGAGTGTAGTGTAGTCTTATAATGTCTGTTGAGGACTGAGTGTCGTGTAGTCTTATAGTGTCTGTTGAGGACTGAGTGTAGTGTAGTCTTATAGTGTCTGTTGAGGACTGAGTGTAGTGTAGTCTTATAGTGTCTGTTTGGGACTGAGTGTAGTATAGTCTCATAGTGTCTGTTGAGGACTGAGTGTAGTGTAGTCTTATAGTGTCTGTTGAGGACTGAGTGTAGTCTAGTCTCCCTGTGTCTGTTGAGCACTGAATGTCATGATGCCTTCTGTGTTCAGACCAGGCTCTACCCTGAGTGCGATGTCAACACAAAGTACCTGGTACAGCTGTCAGTCAAGCCTAACATAGAACAGATACTCCCTCCCAGTGAGATCACTACCTTTGCCATGTTCCTTAAGCAGCTGCTGTTCAGGAGGAATGACAGGTTCATCCCTCGAATGGAGTAAGTTTACCTCATCTCTACCAGAGCAGGCCAGTTAGGGACTGGTCATTTATGACAGGGAGGTGGGGGAGTGGGGGGGGGGTCAGAGGTTTGGGATGTACTTAATAATCACCCTCCCCAAATATTCATGTTTTGTATGCACCCCACCCCCCGAAAAGACCAAATGTAAAAGCACTTCTTTTTTTTTATAAACTTTTTGTTTATTACTTTATACATATGAGTGGACCGATAACAGCTAAATCGTTCATTTAATATGTCTGAACACACCTGTTAAGTCCTCAAGATTCCACAGAAACCATACATGCAAGCTAGAGTCATTTAAACTGCATATATGGACATATAATGCTTTAGAGATGGTATAAATGCTAAATGCTTGGATATTTACCCCCAGGTAGATGACTTATCCAAATATGTCCTCTAAAGTAACGTTGATGAGGCCTATGATACAGTCTGTTCCTGTCGTTAAAGGAACAGGCTGGTCAAAGTGTTTTTTTTGTCAAGACAACAAAACTGAGAAGCTTTCTTGCCATGTATAATTCTAAACGCAGTGACGTTGGTGCAGGTTACATCAATCTTGCAGATGATCTGATAGCATTTAATAATGCTGGATTGCTCCCCAAAACTCTTGAAATCTCAAGGCTAAATGAAGGGGATGGTGTAAAAAATACATTGATGTGACATTCAGCTAAATTTCACAATAACTGCAAGCTTTTATACAGCAACTAAAACGAGTTCAGAAGAGGAGCAGTACATCACCCCCATGCACTGATGTTGTTGGTAAGAAAGCACGTGGTGACCGGTACCAATGGCAACAGAACATAACCGTGGATAATGTTTGTTTATTCTGTGAGGAACCGTCTAATACATCTGATCCACTGCATGAAGCAATGACCAAAATGATCATTGAGAGAGTTTGAGGATGTGCAACAAAGTTGCTTGATGATCATATCTTAGCAAAGGTATCATCTGGAGACCTTGTTGCTAGTGAGGCAAAGTACCTCTCTAAGTGTTTGATCGCCCTGTATAATAAAGCAGCCAGACATAAAACATCAGAACAAAGCCAGCTACAAAGTCCTTACTGCCACTGTTCCAGGAAGACGTCGCAACAGTAGCAATGATGAGGCATTCGTTGGATGTTATCAAGGGCATTGTGTTACTTTCCAACCCAAGACAGACACCTGTTGTTACAGTGGACCAACCATTGTTTGCTATTGTCAAGAACATCCAGTGGAAATGGCCATTATTCTATGGAGCGTCTGCACATCGAGTTGGCTGCACTTAGGGCTTTAGGAAATCTTCTCGACGACAGTGGATGGGTAGGGATACTGGTTCAGGCAGAGATTGCCACAGGTGGCACAGCAGATTCAGTCTTGAAGGCAGCTCACATCACCCGCACAAGAAGGGTGCACCAGGTGACAGCTTGTGCCATGTATTTATCCCTGCAACAGGCATATCAGGCGTATATGGAATCTGTTGAACCCAACATGGTGACAAAGTTCTGGTACATGGTCTATGAATTTCAAATCACCATGCTTGTGTTTGTGCAATCTATTCGTACAGTATGTCTATTCCCTGACCAAGCTTGTTCCTTGGTTTTTTTCTTGACCACTACCACTATGCACGATGGATATCAGTCCACCTCCGAGACATGGTGACCTTGTCCAAGCTGCACCCCAATGTCCATGCTCAGTTCTTGAATGTACAGTTCACAGTGAACAAGACACCTCATGCTTACTCAAGAATTGCTATTGATCAAGCACATGAGCAACATAATGCTGTGGTAAAAGATGATGGTGGAGCTGTTGGGCTGACTGAGAATCCAGCTGCTCTCCAGAGATGGATGGTCAGTGGACCCGAGATGGCACATCTCATCAATGACTTGGAAGTTTCATTGGATGATGCACAGAAGAAACCTGACATGTGCCATCATGAACAATGTCCTGGTGTGCAAAAGGCTTTCATTGGAGATGTCACTTCACTGAAATCTGTTATTGAAGAGTATGGATATCCATTCCTTGAAACTAGGTGCGACCTTCTTGTACTTGATACACAGGGCATTGCTGATAAATCTGTTGGTGACTCTTGTATAAGCTTGAAAAGCTTGGATGTAAACAATACAACACATTTGTGAAAGAACTGCTTGTAGAAAAGTCAAAACCTATAGACGGCCCAATAAAGAAGAACAAACTTTGTCTCTTTAGTACACCAGTGAAATGACAGAAAAGTGACAGAACTGTTACAGAAATCTCTTAGTTCACATGTTAAAGCCAGGTTCAACAAAGACTTCTCAGGACGTCTTTCAAGTGCCAACGAATAGATGTTGTTTGGAAAAAATATAGGTCAGACTCTTTGAAAGAACAATCACGAGACAAGAGAGGTAAAGGAGTGCGCCGTTGAGTACAGCCAAACAATCTAATTAAAAAAAACTGGGGAGACTTCTTGAAACTTGCTGAAAATAAGAAAGAACTATTTGTGTTTCTCAGCACAGAAGCTATCACTATCCAAACCTACAAGCAAGTCATTAGCACACTGCACGAGGATGTTGTCTACCACCTGCCTAGAACAACAGAAGGACTAGCACCTTGCACACACGAGGAAGCAGACAGCCGAATTATGGTCCATGTCGCTGATACAGCTAAACAGTACAAGATTCTCATCCGTACAGTGGACAGTGATGTTGTTGTGATTGCTGTACATGTGTTTGCACAGCTACGAATGCTACTAACGGCTTTGGGGGTGGCCTTTGGCACAGGCAAACACTTCCGACTGATTCCTGCACATGACATCGCTTAAGCAATTGGACCAGACAAGAGTCTCGCACTTCCCATGTTCCATACCATGACTAGATGCGACACTGTCTCCTGCATCACTGAAAGAGGACAGAAGACAGCGTGGGATACCTGGAACATGTACCCTGAGGTCACTGCAGAGTTTGCTGCACTAATGAACCAGCCACAATTGACAGATGTCGATAAGTCTATGGACACTGTAGAGAGATTTTCTGTCCTGCTATATGACAAAACCAGCTTGAAGTGTCATGTGAATGAGGCAAGAGTGGATCTCTTCCACCAACACAATCTGCCCTTCTACACCACGTGAGAAGAGCAGCTTACCAGGCTGGGCATTGTTGGAGCCAGGCTCTTAGACCAGTGGTTGACATACCACGACCAGCAGGATGAGGTTAGACAAGAACCGATGGAGGAACATGGGAAGTCATGTAGAGCGGCCCCCAGCAGGCCAGCAGAATGTGCAGAGAACTACTGCGATGTGGCTGCACAAAAGGTTGTCGGGCAAACTGCAAGTGCGTCAAAGCAGCATTAAGCTGTACTGCACTGTGTAAGTGTGATGGATGTTGCTAGTACATGTACGTGAAACCAGTAAATTGCAATGGAAAACTTATTCGTCTTGAGATATGAGTATTAGGTATTTTGAAACCTTATTGTGCGCACCCAGACAACAGCAGAGACATATAAGCGAACACTCCCAATATGCTTATCTTGGATGGGTTATACTTCTACAGTGACTGATAAGAGAGTCGCCCATACGCGTTGATGCCATATTATCAGGAATGTTCCAATTATCAAGGGTTAATACACTCAAGGAGGTTTTCAACTTACTTGATATAAAACACATTTATTTACCCACCAATATAATGACTCCGGCTGTCATAGTTACCAAGATATCAACAGATATTTGTCAGAATGTTGGCCATTTTTTAAGATGGCCGCTAAGGTCGCCGAAGGTCAAGTCAATGATGGCTCTATATCTAAATTTAGCCGTATTGGTATGATGTATATTGATGCCAAATTTCATGCTTTTAACACAAAGTGCACGATTTTTTCATAATATGGCAAAATCCGCTGGACTAAATAGTGTGACAACACCCTGCCTAATTATTCAGTGTAGTCTCTTCACCTTGCCGACATGTATTTCTTTCCAGATCTTTAGTTACTGACCGAGTACAGGTATCACACATACACGAGCTCTACTGACGTGAATAATGCATGACCAAGGCACAATATGTATATCCCTGTTTATGATACAGCTTCAACCTTTGACTTTGACGGCTCCCAAATAGTATCTCGGCTATCATGGTGAATGTGAAACTTTGGGCTTTTACTCAGCCAGTTTGGCATAATGGTTCATTTAGTAAATATGCAGTAAGAATGTTTGTTGTGTAGAAACTTTTGTCATTTCTTTTGGTTATTGGTCTTAATTGTTGTATTGCGATCTAATACAATATTCCAGAAATGTACAGGTGAGCTACAGATCCTTGTGCCTCTTTCTTTGATGAATATCTGCAGGCACGACTGAGGTTCTGAGTTGACTGTAATACTGGTGTAAATTTCAGTGATATTGATGAAAGAATGCACAATCAAAGATATATGTATTTGTGTAACTACTTGGTATCCTCAGTAATAACAGGCACTGCTATTGTGGTTTCTAATCCGAGCCTACTTGTGACAACAGACAGCTGATCCCGGGGTGCGGGCTGCACCTGATCCAGGCCAGGTTCTCCATGATGCAGCTAGTGATGGACCTCACTCCCGCACAGCTGCTGGAGGTCTTCAAGGTGAGTCTCCGCAAACGGGCTCAAGTCTCTAGACAGGGATGCCATACTCCACACACCCCACACCAGTCTCTAGACAGGGATGCCATACTCCACACACCCCACTCCACACACCCCACTCCACACACCCTACTCCACACACTCCACACCAGTCTCTAGACAGGGATGCCATACTCCACACACCCCACTCCACACACCCCACTCCACACACCCTACTCCACACACCCCACACCAGTCTCTAGACAGGGATGCTGTACTCCACACACCCCATTCCACACACCCTACTCCACACACCCCATTCCACACACCCCACACCAGTCTATAGACAGGGATGCTGTACTCCACACACCCCATTCCACACACCCTACTCCAGAAACCCCATTCCACACACCCTACTCCACACACCCCACTCCACACACCCTACTCCACACACCCCACACCAGTCTCTAGACAGGGATGCCATACTCCACACACCCCACTCCACACACCCTACTTCACCAACTACACTAGTCTCTAGACAGGGATGCCATACTCCACACACCCCACTCCACACACCCCACTCCACACACCCTACTCCACACACTCCACACCAGTCTCTAGACAGGGATGCCATACTCCACACACCCCACTCCACACACCCCACTCCACACACCCCACTCCACACACCCCACTCCACACACCCTACTCCACACACCCCACACCAGTCTCTAGACAGGGATGCCATAGTCCACATACCCCATTCTACACACCCCACTCCACACACCCTACTCCACACACCCCACTCCACACACCCCACTCCACACACCCTACTCCACACACCCTACTTCACCAACTACACTAGTCTCTAGACAGGGATGCCATACTCCACACACCCCACTCCACACACCCCACTCCACACACCCTACTCCACACACTCCACACCAGTCTCTAGACAGGGATGCCATACTCCACACACCCCACTCCACACACCCCACTCCACACACCCTACTCCACACACCCCATTCCACACACCCTACTCCACACACCCCATTCCACACACCCTACTCCACATACCCCATTCTACACACCCTACTCCACACACCCCGCTCCACACACCCCACTCCACACACCCCACTCAACACACCCCACTCAACACACCCCACTCCACAAACCCCACTCCACATACCCTACTCCACACACCCCACTCCACACACCCCACTCCACACACCCCACTCCACACACCCTACTCCACACACCCTACTCCACACACCCCACTCCACACACCCCACTCCACACACCCCACTCCACACACCCTACTCCACAAACTCCACACACCCTACTCCACAAACCCCACTCCACACACCCAACTCCACACACCCCACTCCACACACCCCACTCAACACACCCCACTCCACACACCCTACTCCACACACCCTACTCCACACACCCCACACCAGTCTCTAGACAGGGATGCCACACTCCACACACCCCACTCCACACACCCCACTCCACACACCCTACTCCACACACCCTACTCCACACACTCCACACGCCCCACTCCACACGCCCCACTCCACACACCCCACTCCACACACCCTACTCCACACACCCCATTCCACACACCCTACTCCACACACCCCATTCCACACACCCTACTCCACACACCCCACACCAGTCTCTAGACAGGGATGCCACACTCCACACACCCCACTCAACACACCCCACTCCACACACCCTACTCCACACACCCTACTCCACACACCCCACACCAGTCTCTAGACAGGGATGCCATACTCCACACACCCCATTCCACACACCCTACTCCACACACCCCATTCCACACACCCTACTCCACACACCCCACTCCACACACCCCACACCAGTCTCTAGACAGGGATGCCATACTCCACATACCACACTCCACACACCCTACTCCACACACCCCACACCAGTCTCTAGACAGGGATGCCATACTCCACACACCCCATTCCACACACCCTACTCCACACACCCCATTCCACACACCCTACTCCACACACCCCACTCCACACACCCTACACCACACACCCCACACCAGTCTCTAGACAGGGATGCCACACTCCACACACCCCATTCCACACACCCCACTCCACACACCCTACTCCACACACCCCACTCCACACACCCTTCTCAACACACCCCACACCAGTCTCTAGACAGGGATGCCACACTCCACACACTCCATTCCACACACCCCACTCCACACACCCTACTCCACACACCCTACTCCACACACTCCACACCAGTCTCTAGACAGGGATGCCATACTCCACACACCCCATTCCACACACCCTACTCCACACACCCCATTCCACACACCCTACTCCACACACCCCACTCCACACACCCTACACCACACACCCCACACCAGTCTCTAGACAGGGATGCCACACTCCACACACCCCACTCCACACACCCTACACCACACACCCCACACCAGTCTCTAGACAGGGATGCCACACTCCACACACCCCACTCCACACACCCTACACCACACACCCCACACCAGTCTCTAGACAGGGATGCCACACTCCACACACCCCACTCCACACACCCTACACCACACACCCCACACCAGTCTCTAGACAGGGATGCCACACTCCACACACCCCACTCCACACACCCTACACCACACACCCTACACCACACACCCCACACCAGTCTCTAGACAGGGATGCCACACTCCACACACCCCACTCCACACACCCTACACCACACACCCCACACCAGTCTCTAGACAGGGATGCCACACTCCACACACCCCACTCCACACACCCTACACCACACACCCCACACCAGTCTCTAGACAGGGATGCCACACTCCACACACCCCGCTCCACACACCCCACTCCACACACCCCACTCCACACACCACACTCCACACACCCTACTCCACACACCCCACACCAGTCTCTAGACAGGGATGCCATACTCCACACACCCCACTCCACACACCCCACTCCACACACCCTACTCCACACACCTCACACCAGTCTCTAGACAGGGATGCCATACTCCACACACCCCATTCCACACACCCCACTCCACACACCCTACTCCACACACCCCATTCCACACACCCTACTCCACACACCCCACTCCACACACCCCACTCCACACACCCCACTCCACACACCCCACTCCACACACCCCACTCCACACACCCCACACCAGTCTCTAGACAGGGATGCCATACTCCACACACCCCACTCCACAAACCCTACTCCACACACCCCACACCACACACCCCACTCCACACACCTCACACCAGTCTCTAGACGGATGCCATACTCCACACACCCCATTCCACACACCCTACTCCACACACCCTACTCCACACACCCCACTCCACACACCCCACACCAGTCTCTAGACAGGGATGCCATACTCCACACACCCCACTCCACACACCCCACTCCACACACCCCACTCCACACACCCCACTCCACACACCCCACACCAGTCTCTAGACAGGGATGCCATACTCCACACACCCCACTCCACACCCCCCACTCCACACACCCTACTCCACACACCCCACTCCACACACCCCACTCCACACACCCCATTCCACACACCCCACACCAGTCTCTAGACAGGGATGCCATACTCCACACACCCCACTCCACACACCCCACTCCACACAACCCACTCCACACACCCCACTTCACACACCCTACTCCACACACCCAACACCAGTCTATAGACAGGGATGCCATACTCCACACACCCCACTCCACACACCCTACTCCACACACCCCATTCCACACACCCTACTCCACACACCCCACTCCACACACCCCACTCCACACACCACACTCCACACACCCTACTCCACACACCCCACACCAGTCTCTAGACAGGGATGCCATACTCCACACACCCCACTCCACACACCATACTCCACACACCCTACTCCACACACCCTACTCCAGAAACCCCATTCCACACACCCTACTCCACACACCCCACTCCACACACCCCACTCCACACACCACACTCCACACACCCTACTCCACACACCCCACACCAGTCTCTAGACAGGGATGCCATACTCCACACACCCCACTCCACACACCCCACTCCACACACCCTACTCCACACACCTCACACCAGTCTCTAGACAGGGATGCCATACTCCACACACCCCATTCCACACACCCTACTCCACACACCCCATTCCACACACCCTACTCCACACACCCCACTCCACACACCCCACTCCACACACCCCACACCAGTCTCTAGACAGGGATGCCATACTCCACACACCCCACTCCACAAACCCTACTCCACACACCCCACACCACACACCACACTCCACACACCCCACTCCACACACCTCACACCAGTCTCTAGACGGATGCCATACTCCACACACCCCATTCCACACACCCTACTCCACACCCCCCATTCCACACACCCTACTCCACACACCCCACTCCACACACCCCACTCCACACACCACACACCACACACCCCACTCCACACACCCCATTCCACACACCCCACACCAGTCTCTAGACAGGGATGCCATACTCCACACACCCCACTCCACACACCCCACTCCACACAACCCACTCCACACACCCCACTCCACACACCCTACTCCACACACCCAACACCAGTCTATAGACAGGGATGCTGTACTCCACACACCCCATTCCACACACCCTACTCCACACACCCCATTCCACACACCCCACACCAGTCTATAGACAGGGATGCTGTACTCCACACACCCCACTCCACACACCCTACTCCACACACCCCATTCCACACACCCTACTCCAGAAACCCCATTCCACACACCCTACTCCACACACCCCACTCCACACACCCTACTCCACACACCCCACACCAGTCTCTAGACAGGGATGCCATACTCCACACACCCCACTCCACACACCCTACTTCACCAACTACACTAGTCTCTAGACAGGGATGCCATACTCCACACACCCCACTCCACACACCCTACTCCA